GGGGGTCCATACTCACTTGACCAAGCCTGCTGTCTGGCCCTGGGACACAGCCTTTTCATACTGCTTCTTGGCGACTTCCTTTTCCTTGACATTCCCAGGGTATGTAACACCGTCAATGGTCCTGCAGGGAGAGAGAGTTGGGGGAGGTCGTGCTGGGCCAGACTCCCCCCAGAGCCCAGATCCAGCAGCCTGAGTGCACGCACAGGGTGAAGTTGGTGATGAAGGCTGTCTTGGGCAGCTCCACATCAAAGGAAACCTCTTTGGCGGCATCTGCCCGGTTGACGGCTCTCGTGGTGACGACATTGTGAGCAAAGCGAGAGGTCACCTTGCAGCTGATCTTGGTGCTGTAGACCTCAATGCCATCAACCACCTGTGGGAGAGGGGATGGCAGTCAGCAGTGGTGGCCTGCCAACCTGGGGCACTGGGAAGCCAAGTCTTCAACCTGGCCACTCCTGTTCCAAGCTCCTTTTACAGATTGCAAAGGCCCTGCCTGGTAAGTGACCCCTCCATTGTCCCAGTCACTCATGCTGGAAGCTTGGGTGGCCTCCTCCATCCCCATGTTCAATTGGCCACCATTTGGCGATGGGAGCCTGGGCAGTCCCAATGCCTTGTGCATGCACCGGCCTTTCCGAGCACCTCTCTGCCCGCAGAGACCAGGGGCTTCTTGGAGCACGGAGGCCATGTCTGATTCAGCCTTTGTTTCTCCCTATTTGCTGGGCCCCCCAAGTTCCTTAGCTCAGCCTGACTGGTTGCTCAGCAGCAAGAAGTCACTTAGGGAGGGGAGTTTTGCACCATGAAAAGGAACTTCATGTTGTGCCAAGAGGAGAGAGGAGGGGGAGGGAGAAGGGCTGGGGGAGAGGGGCAGGGTCCTGATCTGCCTGCTTAATCCTGTAATTAGTTCCCATGCAGCTTGCAGCCAGTGAGACCTTGTAAAGAAACAAATGTGACCCTCTCACCCTCCCACTTAAAACCTCCTATGCTGCCCATCACCCTGAGGACAGGCAGTGCTTCCGGTGGCTCCGAGTTCCTCCAGGCAGGTCCTGTGTCCTCCACTTGAGGTGCTCCAGCCAGGCCAGGTCTCTGCAGGTCTGCCCCAGTGGGGTCAGAGACCTGTTTAGCTCTTCCTGTTCACCTTTCACATTGTCATTTGGAAAGATCATGTTCTACTCTCTTACTGTGTCCTTTGGTAATTGCCTGATTCTACCTCCCAAATACGCACTTATTTCCAGTGCTGAGGGAAATGTGAATGCGTGTGGCGGGCCTTTATGACCCCAATATCCTCCTTCCCACAGGCACTCAGTGGCCTGAGGGAGACTCTAGGGAGACATCTGGGTTAACCACGGATATGAGGATGCTTTGTGAGGGTGTGACAGGGCCATTCACTATGTGTCCCCAGCCCAGCCTAGTGACCGCAGCTGCTTGGTGAGTGTTTGTGGAAGGAAGGACTGGTGGAACGGCTGTCCTGGACTGCACCTGGTGTAGTCCAAGAGGGCATGGTTCTGTGGCACTCTTTCCTGGGGGTCTTGAGTCATATGGGGGTCTGCCAGAACAGGGGTCTGTGAGCTGTTGGCCAGCTGTGTGGGACCTGCTGTTATGGCCCACCTCTTTAGCTGTTGGGCAACCAGCTCCATCTTGCCCTACTTCACCCCACACCATCCCTGGCAAAAGTCCTCACCCCTTCCAGGAGGCTCCGTTTCTGCAAAAGCAAAGATAAACACAAGGCCAAGGTCACTGTGGCGGGAGTGCAGGTTCTGGGCTGAGACAAAGATTCAGTGGTGACCCTCCCCTACATACACCTTGGAGGGCCTTTGGACATTAAGACCCACCCAGAGCCACCTGGCGGAGTAGGCAGGGCTCTGAATAGATGGAGAAACTGAGATCCAGAGAGGGCAGGTCTCCAGGCTACCCAGGGGAGCTGGGCAGGGAGAATGGAATCCAGAGCTCTTTCCCTGCCCCACATACCCCAACCCACTCTGCCTTTCCCTGCACCCCAGGTCCATGAGGCCCCCTCATGGAGCACCCCACCACCACTACACACCGCAGGGCCCAACTCAGCCCTTCCTAGAGGCCTCTGCCCTTTTCTCAGATGTGGACCTTTATGTTTCCTGAGCGAGGTGAGCAGTTCAAGGAGCACTGCCCATTTGACAGGTGGCCCAGGGAGACTTCAGAGCCTTGCCCAGGATTAAATGGTAAGTTCTCTCAACACACAGCCCTGTCCCCTGCAGCTCATTGCCCTGCCCTCTCCCTCCCCCTCGCCCTTGCTCATGTAAAGGACCACTCAGGCTGGTGGTTCCTCTGCCCACATGTCAGGCCCAGATGGTGAAGAGGGGACAGATTTACCTCAAGCAGCCGGGAAGGGCTTCTCGGGAAGCCAAAGGCCACCGAGCCAGAGAGCAGAGCCAAGATGAGGCAGGGCCACCAAGCAGATGCCATCACTGAGTATGCAGGCCTGGCTCACACCCTTTATATGAACCAGCTGACTGGTAGGGTCGGTGACCTTCCAGCACAGGGTGGGAGGAGCGGAGGCGGAGGCTGTCCGGGAAGCTGCAGCGGGGGTGGAATAACGCATCTGGATCTGCCTGTACCAAGATGGGTTGTCAACAGCACTGGGACTTTACTCCCAGTGGCGGGGGGACGTGAAGGCTCTGGGGAAAGCAAAAGCTGTGTGTGAGCCTGTGACCCCCTGGGTCACAGGGAGTCAATAGCGATAAGGTATGGAGTCACACGTAAAGCAAACAGCATCTCTCAGCATTGTTGCCTCTCGCCCCCACCACTGACATGGCCTCTGGATCATAGCTACCTTCTTCTCTAGACCACCAGGGCACAAAACTGGGTCATCACTCTAAGGCTCCAATCTTCAAGGCTGAAGCCCTTGCTCATTATCCTTCTGTTTCTCATGGCCCCAGGAAAAGGACAACCCCCAAGTCCAGGGGCCCAGCTCTCTCTGTGAACTGCCTCCAACTTGCTTTTCTGAACTTTCTTCCTCCCACTAGCATGCCCTCCCGTTGTCTGCACATCACATCTCTCATCTCTGCCAGTCCCAGTGCTCTCCTCTGGAAGCCTTCCTTGTTCACCCCCAGCTGGCCACAGACAGCACTGCTCCATCATTACCCTGTGTTGAGGTTTGCATGTGTAGGACTGATCACGACCTCTAGCCTCCTCGCTCCAGGCCATGTCATATTTATCCCTGCATTCCCAGGGCTTGAGCAGTGACTCCGCTGCCCTGGACCTTTTGAAGAGTCCATTTCCTGAAGTGCCAGCCTCCAGGACAGTGGAAGCTTCAGTGGCAGGGGCTGGTCCCCTCGCAGTGGGGAATGAGATTTCATGGGCCACACCAGGGCCCTGCCAGCCCCTGGACCTTCCAGAATGCCAGCTGTGTGCTTGCCAGACTCATGCTCTTCTAAGCAAAGTGACCTAGTGACCCTCCCACTCAGCCACTACTAAATGGAGTTGGCGAGGATGCCTGGGCACAGGGCAGCTAATGTGTGGATTGCACCATGGCCTTTGTGGAAAGCTTTGCACCTGACTGAGAGATGCCCTGAGAGAGCTGGATGCTGGGAACAGAGGAACAGCAAGAAAACCCCTTATCTCTTAAAAGAACAATTCTGAGGCTGCTCAACAGGCTCCTGAGGGACAGCTGGGGACTTGGAGGCATTCAGTCGTGCAGAATTTAGAATAAGATAGGATCTAGGAGATCTTCAGCCTCACACATTTTTCTTTTACAGGAGGGGAAATGAAGCCCCAATTGGCCAGAGCCTTGCTCACAGTGACAAGCCAGCTGGCAGCCCCTGGCTCTCCCTAGAGAAGCACAGAATACTCCAGACAACAGGTTGGTGCCTGAAACTCCACTGGCTGCCCTCCCTCCCAGCCTGCCACAGAGGGCTCTGCGTTTCCTGGGCCTGGAGCAGCGGTGGGACTAACTCTGAATTTGTGTTGTCAGTCTGGGCCCTGGTGAGCCTCATTTGGAGTGGAAACTGAACAGAAGCCAGCAGAGAAAAAGCAGAAATCTTTTGGAAAGGAGTGAATGGAGGACATCAACTGTCGCCTGAAGGGTCAGCAGCTCCCGACGTGTCATTCACCTCCCTGCACCCTTTGACCTTGCTCTTTAACTGGGCCCAAGGCAAAACCAAGGGAAGGAAGGAAGGAGCTCCAATTGTGTGTTCCAGGGATCAGTGTGAGGAGCCGTTGGGCTGCTGGTCCTGGGCCCTGAAATCACAGCTTCTGCACTGTGGCCGTCTCTGCCTTTGAGAAGTATAATCTTGCTGTCAGAGACTGTAAACCCGCCATGGGAAACTGAGCCGAGGGTGGGGCCCAGAAACTGCCTCCTGAGGCCCTGACCCCAGTGGGTGCAACCTCCAGCTACTGACAGCACTTCTTCAGGACCCTGAGTCCATATACAGTTCATGTTTCTTTCAGACACTCGTTTTAAGTGACAATTTGGAACATTTGGAGTCAAATCCCATGAGGCTTTGGCCATCAGTCACCCTGCCTGACTGAAGTATCAACATGGGGGTGGTTAAGCACTCAGATGCTGACACCAGAGAGCATGGGTTCAAATCCCAGCTCTGCCACTTACAAGAGGAGTGATTCTGGACAAATTACCTAACCACAGTTTCCTTAGTTGTAAATGAGCATGACAAGAGTCTCCCCTGGCACTGCTGGAAGCATACTTTAGTTAGTTAATTCAACTAAGGCCCTTTGAACAGTGCCTGGCTACAAGAAGCAGCGAGTAAGCTGTGGCTGTTGCTGCTCACTCCTGTGTGTGCTGCCAGAGTGTCATCTGGTCCCCGAACCTGTGGGAGGAGCCGTGTGGGGGTGCATTCAGGGCATTCAGAGGGCATGGGACAGGCAGCAGCAGAGAACAGGGTGGGGGGCGGGCGAACCGATGGGGGCTTCATCCTGGCCTCCATGTCTGCTGTGACCCCTGAGACATTCTAAGGGGCAGTATCTCTCTAGGGTTGCCTCCCCACCACCCTCCCTTCCAAAGAGCAGCCAGCCTGGGAGGGACATAGCCTATCTTTAATGAAAGTCATAGGTGCTTTGACACAGGAGACCTCTTGGACAGAAAGCTGTGGCCTGGACAGCAGGTCAGGATGCTGTCCTCCAAGGCAGGACAGGTGCTCAGAAGATGTCAGGGACGATATAGTCAGTGTGAACGCCATCGATCAGTCCAACCCCGTTGTTGTGGATGAACCAGCAGGTCACCTCAACTCCATGCCGGGGATCCTTCCTGTAGTCTTTTTGCAAGCCTCTGGGGAGAGACAAGTCAGCTGGTGTCACCTTTTGGGCCCAGCAGGGTATACCTCCCAGGAAGCCCATCCCACCCTTGTGATACCAGGAGGAAGGCTTGGATCAGCAACGGGCAATACCAAGGGCAGAGAAGCTAGAAGAGCAGCCCACCCACCTGGTGACTGTGAGCTGATGGTTCTTCACCACCATTGTGGCATCTGTCTTTGTGGGGTCAGAGCCTGGGTGGAGGTCGGACACTTTGTAATCAAAGGGGTGAAAGAATTGTCCTGGAAAGGCACATTGGAGGCAGCAGTTACAGGGGGCAGCAGGGGAGAGAGGAGCCTTGCTCATGCATTGCACTCAGTAGGTGCTCGCTGAAGGTTTAGAGTCACTTGAACTTTTTTTTTCCCAAGGGCTTCACTGTTTCTGATAAATTTTGGCATTGAAGCCACTTGTTTAGTTCACCTGCTGTAGAGAAGCAGATAATATTGTCAGGTGGTCGGTTATACCTCCTGTCGTTTGGGCCAGTTTCAAAGGAGTGTGGCTGGGGGAGACTTGGAGGGGTAGGTGCACTCAGAGAACAGTGTCTCCAGGAAGGCCACGGGGAGAAGCAGTGTGGCGATGACCCACCCCACCCAGGAGATCTCCGGGAGCCTGCTGGGCCTTTCTGTTTGCTTGCAGGCTTACTTACACTTCAGTTTCACTGTGGTCTGACCATAGCCCTTTTGAGGGACAAGACCCTCGCCAGGACAAGCCTCTTTGGATTGCTACGCCTTGGACGCCATGTTGGAGGTGAGCCTGTCTGGGTACTCAGCTGCAGGGCTGAGCAGTCCACTGGCTTCGGTGCCCCACCCCACAGCTCTGCCCGCCTCATCAGCCATACCCAGCAGACCGTGTGTCCGTGCCGACATCCGGTGGCTATCCAGCACATAGAAGCCGAGGAAGTCCTGCTGGATGGCACTCCCCTTCCACACCCGGTGCAAGACCACCTCGAAGGTGCCTCCATCCTCCACAGACACCACCAAGTTCCTCTTTCTGTTGATGGTCACCACAACCCTGCAGGGGCAGGCGGCCATGGGGACACATGTGGCTGCAGGGAACCCCTCTCCATTTAGCTGCTTTTGTCCTCTGGGACCTAGCTCTCATGATCCCCTCACCTTCAACCCCAGATGATTGGGCGTTACCTGCTCTAAGCTTCTTCCCACATGTCGCTATTAAATATGGAGCCGTTACAGTGTGCTAGGACCTGTGCGAAGCCTTCCATGAAAACTGCATCATTCAGTTCTCACTCTGATCCTGTGAGGACCAAGGCTCAGAGAGGTGAAGTAACTTGCTCTAGGTCACACAGCTATAAGCAGCAGAGCCAGGACTTGGACCCCAGCCTGTCTAATGCCAGTGTCTGTGTTCTCTGACTCCACACATCACCTATGTCCTTCACACCAGACTCTGCCCACCTCTTATGATAGCTCTGCTGCCCAGCACTGGGCTCTGCCACTCAGCGGAGCTTGTTGAATGAATGAAGGAGTGAATGAAAGAACAAACAAAGACAAGGCATGCTAGGACAGGTGCTGAAAGGAAAGCCCAGAGAACTGCAGTGTTTAGCAGAGAGAGAGACTAGGAGGGCTTCGGGAAGAGGTGGCTGGCTTTGTTTGGTGGAGGTGGGGTGGACTGTACAGGCATCCAGAACATGTGTCCAGAAATTGAGGGAAATGGGGTAGTCCACAGAGTTCTAAATGTCTGTGCAGCTTACCTGGAGGCCACATTAACATCACTTGCTGACATGGCTCAGGGGACAAGGGCCCAGCAGGCGCAGGCAGCACAGCTGGCTCTGGGGCTTCTGTCTTGGCCCCCACCACCCCTACCCCTGCCTCCCTGCCCAGGCCCCAGTCCCAGCCCCGTTACTCGTCCTGCCGCAGTGAAGCCTGGTCTTTCCAGGAGAACACGGGCCCGCCTGAGCCAGGGTTCAGCGTGATGTTCTCAGGAGTCACTTCCAGCTGAAAGTCTGTTGCAGGGTTTGCAATCCCCAGGCGCCCGAAATACGTGCCCTCATGCTGGCCAGGATTCCCGGCCTGGTGGCCAATGAGCTGCCCATTCACTGAGAAACCTGCAGTGGGGTGAGGGGCCATCCAGGTCAGGGAGGGGCCAGCTCTCTCTAGACACCCAGACTGCCTTTGCTTATGCCTCCTGCCCAGGAGATCCCCGCACCCCACTCAAGGCAGGCCACCTTTAAGGGTCTTACCTCCCAAGGGGAGACTTCGGGACTGGTTCAGGCCGTACACAACACTCCCTCCTCTTCCCCCATCCACCCTCACACACTACCTACCCAGTATGTAGCCCTTGGGTCTGGGCTCTGAAAGAGGTTTTGCAGGACTTGGCCTGCTCCCTCTCTGTAACTCCAGTCCTTGACACAGGGCAGTGCACAGTAGGTGCTGCAGACATGTTTGTGCAGCCTCTTCCTAGAGGCCTTCTCTGACCTGAGCAGCCAGAAAGCCCTTCTTTGTCTTCACTGTCCTCACTCAGCAGGTCTCATGCTTGGAAATTGTCATCTAAGAATTCAGTCACCTGTTTGTCTCCTCTAAACCCCTTGAGGGCAGGGCCTGTGTCTCGGCTCCCTCTGCATCCCTGCCCCTGGCCTGTGCTCGGCGAACTCTTGCAGCCAGGCTGACTGGACTGGGAGGACAGAGTGACCGAGATGCAAAGGAGGTCTGTGTCTCCCATCGCCTGCGCTCTGCGGGGGAGGCACCCTCTGGGCTCCCTTAGCCATGCTGGGGGGAAGGGCAGGGCAGGATGGCTACATAATCTGTAGGACTCAGTGCAAAATAAAAATGTTTAAAAATTGTTAAGAATTTTGGTCCTGGCCAGGTAGCTCGGCTGGTTAGAGTGTTGCCCCCATATATCAAGACTGTGGGTTTTATCCCCCATCAGGGCACATACAAGAAGCAACAAGCGAATGCATAAATAAGTGGAACAACAAAACAATGTCTCTCTCTCTCTTTCCCCTCTCTCCCCCCCCTTTTCTCTCTCTCTCAAATCAATAAAAATAAATAAATCAATAAAAATTGTTACGAATTTCAAGACAGCAACAAGAGACCATCAGACTGAGCCCGGACCCTCCTAACCACAGGATCCCAGCATCTGCGCGGGGCCTCCGCAGGTGGATGGAGTGAGAAAGAGGCAAGTCGAGGCCAGCCAGGTGACCTTGGGGGCGTGGGGTGTAGGCAGTGGAGGCCTCAGCCACTGTCCTGTCCATGGCAGAATGCAGGGGGCAGGGGAGCCCAGGCCCTGCCCCAACTGGCAGGGAGTGTGACGTCACCATACCTGTGTCGGGGTCCTGCACCAGACTCAAGACCACTCCAGGCTCTTCATTGATGTTGAAGCACAGGGTATCCTCTTTCTGGGGCACGTGGATGATGAAGTGGGGGTCAGTGTCCACTGGGGGGATGGCATGGCATCCATTAGATTGGGCACTGGGCAGATGGAGCCAGCCAGGGGCAAGGGTGCAATAGGCAGCGGTGACCCTCAGACCCTCCTGAGGACTCACCCCAGGTTACTTGGCCTGGCAACTTCTGAACACTGGAGTTGGTTCGAGTCGGCTGAAGCGGCTGCTGCTCGGCCGGCAGCACGAATGCTGACCCATGAGAGCGAATGGCATTTAGAAGGAAGGCAGCTGGGCTTCCGTGGAGCTGCTGGCTCCTTTTCCTAGGCCCCTCCCACCCCAAGGCCTTGGGAGGGAGCAGAAATGGACACAGAACCCTTGATGCCTCTCAGGAGGTGGGAAGAGAAATTCGGCCCAGTGCAGTGGGCAGACCTGCTCTGCCTCCTTCCATGGGGACCTGGCTGGGCTGGTGGTAAAAGTGTGAGGGAGGCCAGGCCCATGTCAGGGTTCTGCCTGAGGGTTCCCATGAGAGGCAGTGAGGAGAGCTGGAGCAGAGGAAGGAAGCCCTGGGCTGTTGTTTCCTCAACAGGCAAAACCTAAGGGCTTTGCTCCAGACTGAAGGCACTGCCTGAGGGACAGTGACATGTAGAGCAGAGAGGCAGAGATGTGTGTCATCGAGATGGCTGCCACTTACACGGTCTTTTTCCCAGCATCTCTGTGGAGGACAATGACAGTGTCATCCTTGCCGCCCCACACGAAAGGCACATGCACCTTATTGTCCAAGTGCACCCAGGCCCCCAGGTCTCTCAGGCTTGGGCCAGCCCTCCTCCTGGGGGTCCCAGCCCACCCAGGGGCCTAGGCCTCCTCACGACAGGTACTCACACAAGGGTCCCACTGGAGGCCAATGTGGGGTTCAGGGTGTGCAGGTTCCCTCCCCCCACACACACACGGGAGGCAGCAACTAGTTTGTGGAGAAGCGGGCAAGGACATTGTGGGGAAGGGGAGCCAGGAGGGCCAGAGGCAGGGAGATGGGTGTGGGGAGTTGCTAGCCAAGTGCATGCCACGTGCCTAGCTGCTAAAATCCCCATGAGAAAACCAACTTGATTTAAAAACTCACCCAAGGGCAGAGACTCTGGAGGGAGAGAAAGGAAGGAGAATTAAAGCCCAGGAGGCTTTTGGCCCTCAGAAGCCTCCCTGAGGCCCACAGCTTCCCCCTCTGCAGAGGCCATACCCTCCGGTGGCTTGTCAATGACCGGCCCCAGGCCCTCCTGGTCTGTCAGGCCCTTTATGGTCATGGAAGTCAGGGGAGTCACAAACTGATAGGTCAGCGCCATCTGCAGGGCTTTGGCCGACAGGTTGGCCTTCTCCTGCCCCTCCAACTTCATCCTAGGAGACAGACGCCTGCTCCAAATTCTGTGGCTTGGTGACAATGGACTTGCACCCCCTCATCCTTTCACTCCTTTGTTCACTCACTCATTCATCAGACATGTATTGAGCAGCTGCAGTGTCCTTGTCCTGTGGCTATCATCAAGGAACTCATGACATAAAGACCTCCCACATAGAAAACTTGGAGATTTGGCAGGGTTGGGGGAGTTGCCTCAGAAATCCACAGAGAATTTAACAGCTATGAGATTCTGGGCAAGTGGTCTTACCTCTCTGAGCCTCAGTTTGCTCATCTGTTAAATAGGGATTATGAGGAAATTCCCCTGGACACTCTGAGGATTAAATGAGTGAATATGGACACAGCAGCCCCACAGTAAAAGGCAGCCCCTGGCACGGCAGCTCGGCAGGGGCAGAGCGTGCACCCTGTGGCCCCAGTGGGCCCTGCCCACACTGTTGACTGACAGGTTGATACAAACTCAGTGAGCAAAGCAGGAAGGTAAATCTGAGGCTGAGGGGTGCTCTGGGGTGGACAGTGCCTGCTGGGCAGCCGCAGGGGGCGGTCATACCTCTTGGCCAGCAGCTCCTGGATAGTAAGATAGGCCCAGAGACGTTCAACGTGGTTCTCCAGCATGTGGCCCCGCTCTTGGAGCAGTTTCTTCATCTCTTCCTCATCCACCAGGCAGGTTGTCTTGAATTCTTGGCCCCCCTGAGGGTTGTGATGGGGAGACAGACTGTGAGCTGTGAGGCGCACAGCCACTGGCTGGTGCTCGAGGCTCCTAGGAGTCCCACTCTTCTCTGGTTTCTGCAGCTTCCTTCTCAGCAGCCCCCTTTCCTAAGCCTGCTTTTGTTATCTCCACCCACCCATTCTTTCCATAAAAGCTTGCTGAGCATCCTCCGTGAGCCAAGTTGGCCTAGGCCCTGGGGCATCCCAGAGATAGGAGAAACAGGCCCTGATCTCATGGAATCAATCTCTTTCAGGGATGCAACAAGCACCGGGCTGCTTCTACCATGTAGCTGTTTCCTCCACACCCTGCTCCTCCATACACCTGCTATGCCCCTGGTGGGCTGCACCATTCACCCTGCCACAGCACACAGATGTGCCTTCTCTCCCCAGCTACCCAGCTTCCTAAGGGCGTCCCATGAACTGGGCACTGCATAACCTTATTATGTGGATTATTCCATTTACTCCACACAGCACTTCAGTGTATTGTTACCCCCATGGTACAGAAAGGAAACAGCCCTAGAGAGCTGGATCCATTTGTTCAAGGTCACCCAGCTGGTCAGGGTAGAGCCAGGGTCCAGTTCAGCTCTGCTCACTCAAAGCCTGAGCTCTGCACCCTCAACAGCACTGCAGAGATCGAGTCCACACCCTGTAGGGCAGGGGCCTGGTCTCACACACCCCGACCCCCAACACGCATAGGAACACATGGCACAAAGCCGGGTGCACAGGTGTTCAGCAAATGGTGTTCAAGTAAGAAGAAAGAGGCTTGGTCTCTTGCTCTCTTATGCCTTGAGGGGAATAGTGTGAGGAGTAACAGGTGGTCCTTTATGGGCCAAGGGACTACAATTAATCAAGGCCCTGTTCACTCCATCCCATTCTGTCCCTCAGACACCACCTGCGTAGAGGAATGTTCTGGCCCGGGGTATGTGTGGCACAGTGCAGGGGTGGGGACACTGCTCTGGGGAAGGAGAGGCCCCTTGACAGGGCAGGAATGGGGAACAGTGTGGCTTGGGAGCCTCTGGCTACTGCCCAGCCTCTCCACCCTACACCACCCACTATTTACCCCATGGGCCCGCACGTCAGCCTTGAAGCTACTCAGTTTGTGGTCAGCGATGCGCCCGGCCACCACAATCTCCGAACCTTCGTAGTACTGTTTATGGCTGTGCTGGGTCAGGGCCAAGACCGCATCCTTGGGGTATTGCAACTCCACATCCACCAGCAGGGGTTTGGCTACCTGGTCATAGAAACCCTACAGGGACGCAAGGTGCAGCTTCAGAACTCATGGGTTACCCTGGGCACCCAATGGGAAACCCACTCACAAAGTGGGGTGTTGGGATCCACACTTTATAGAAGGAATCATAGGCTCAGAAGGGTTAAGTAACTGGCTCCCCGTGGGCTGCCATTGGTGGTACACTAGGGGATGGGGTGGGGCGGGGGAAGGAGGAGACCTGCAGCTGCTGAGTGGCATCGTGGTCCTCATAGATTCTCTGGGCCCGTCCATTGTTCTCCATGGACATGACCTCCAGGAAGCTGAAGTCCACATTACGGCCAAAGCCCAAGTTGTAGAGTGGGAACTTGCCCCTGATGGCATCACGGACATTCTTGAGGATCTGGGAACGGTCCGTCACCCCTGCAGCCACATACCCAGGCAAGGACTGGATACTAGCTCACAAGCATGTGGAGCACTAGGGAATTTTGAGCACACTCCCTGGAGGCCAAGTCTTGAATCTTAGAGGGGCTCAACTTCCTACAGGCATCTTGCAGCAACACCTCCTGCTGGCTAATCTGGGAACTGCAACAACTGCTAACAGCTCCTTGCCTATCTACATGGATCCATCACAAGCAGATCTGATTCTCCTCTAAACCCTCCCATGGCTCCTTGCTGTGGCCTGTGAGGCCTTGCTGACCCTTCCACCTTTGTTTCCCCTATTCTGCATATGTCTGCAGGTCCCAGAAGGCCCTGCCAATGCACACATCATGTTTTGCTTAAGCTGCCCTCTCTGCCAGGGATCCCTTCCTGCTTCTCCTCTCCTCCTTCTGGACTGAGCTCAGTGGTCACCTCCTCCAGGAGGCTTTCTCAGAACGTTTTTGGGGCAGGTGCTTCTCATCTGTGGTCCTGCAACTTCCTGGCACCCTGTTTTTTCAGGGTCCTTGACAGAGCTTCTGCTCCTGGGTCTGCCCATGGACCCTGGGATCCTCAAAGACAGAGACATGTCTTATTTTCTTGGTATCTCTACTTGGTCCCTAGCTCTGTGCTTGGCACACAATCGGTGCTAAATATATAGTTCATTAAACTCAACATAGGAATCCTGCCCATCCTCCTGAGCCCTGTGCAATGCTGTCGAGGAGAAACTTCCCCAGTCTTTCAGCTCAAGACAGAAGTGTGCCTTGGAGCTGCTCCATACTCTACGGTATGAACTCTGTTTTTAGATCAGTGTTTGTCTTTGCCCTTAGCCTTTTCTGATCCCCAACAGTCTCCCCAACGCTTGACTTTCCAAGTGCAGCTTGAATGCCTTCAGTAATGAAGAGATCAATTCCTCTCAAGGTAGCCCTTGAGGTGCTTACCCTCTGTGGGCTCGCCATCTGTCAACATGATGAGTATTGGGGCATGGTTGGTGAGTCCTGGCATGCTCCTCTGAGCTTCATTCAAGATCCCAATTCCCCGGAGCAAACCTCCATTCAGGTTTGTGGCTGCGGAGGAGAGAAGGCAGACGTGTATCCTCACATTCTTAGGGGAGAGAGACAACACCAAGGTGGCCTGAGACACCTGCCCTTACACCCAGCGAGCTGGAAGCGCCGCACGAAGTCCTGAGCTGCTTGCAGATTGGCGGCAGATGCCGGCACCAGTGAGCCCCTCCACGACTGAACTTCAGACCCAAAGAGCACCAGGTCGAAGTAGTCCCCTGGCCGCATGTCCCCCAGGATTTTAAGGAGTGCCTCCTTGGTCTGCAAAGACAGGTCAGTTAGTGGAGGGACAGAGCCCCAGGACAGTGTTTTCTGTCAGCTCCAGATACCCATTTCAAAGGTCCCCAGAGCAGAGGCACACAGTGGACAAGCAGGAGGGGATGGTCAGGTGGTGCCAGGGGAGGAACATCCTGCAGGACCCTGGGGTTGGTTAGGTGGAGAGAGAATGGTACCAGTGTGGTAAGAAGAAATGACTGGGAGTTTGAGGAGGGTAGGGTTCAGAAAGAGAACCCAGGGAGCTGAGTTCCTAAAACTCTGCTCATCCATCCCCGGCTGGGTAACTCGGTTGGTTAGAGAGTTGTCCTGATACGCCAAGGTTGCAGGTTTGATCTCCGGTCAGGGCACTTACAAGAAGCAACCAATAAATGCATAAATAAGTAGAATAACAAGTTGATGTTTCTCTCTAAAAATCAATTTAAAAAAACACCTTGGAGACATCTCTTCTTGCCCAACTGTGGCTCCGTTGCACCATAGGCAAGACACTTCAGAGACCAGCGAGCTGCGGCTGTGGCCCTGTTGCAAGATGCCTCTCCATGGGCCTCCATAGCTATCCCCAGGTTCCATCTTCCAAGCTCCTCCTCACTGGTAACCCATGACCCTGTGGCCACTATTATTCCATTTTGCCACCGAGGAGAAGTGAATGCACTTCCCACAGTTGCACAGGGAGGAAGTGGCTGATTCTAGAACCCCCAACCACTAGAATTCCCCATTAAGTCACTCCACCTCTGATCGGGAGCAGAAAGCTCAAACCCAGATACCAGCAAAACCAGCACAGTGTGGATGACAGGGCAGAAGAAGCTTCCGATGGGTGAATTGCTTAACGGCATGGTTTACCTGCTTCACTTTCTCGCCTGTCATGGAGGTGCTGATGTCAATCACAAAAACCAGGTTCTTGTCCATGTTTGTCAAGTTTTGCGGGGCAAAGAAGTGGGCAAAGTGGTTATTGGCGACCTGAAACACAAAGGAACAAGTGAGGCCTCTTTCACAAGCACCCTCCCTGCCCACCCTCTGAGTTTTGGGCCAGAAGCATCGGGCTCACCAGGAGGTCACAGGACTTGTCTCGATTGACATCATAGTTCACCCTGAATTCCCCATCCACCAAGGTAGAGGAGCATGTAGGGCAGGACTGCTGCTGGCCCACAGTGGGGCGGAAGAGCACCTGACCCTGGAACCGTGAAGGGTGTGCAGCATTACTGGTTTGTGCAGGGGCAAATAGGATGTTTGCAAAGATGACAACATGAGGGGTGTGTGTGTGTGTGTGTGTGTGTGTGTGTGTGTGTGTGTTACATGGGCAGAGAAATGAGTTGAGTTGGGTGGGCCTCACCCAGCTGCTAAGAGTTAACACCTGTGGATAGCAGGGGAGGAAACCTATTTCTTTGCTTATATGCTTCTGAATCTTTGGGATTTTCTTTAATAAGTATCACCACTTTGGGTACAAAACAATAGCAGAATGACAGTATGAGAGCATCAGTCAATTCAAACTGTGGAGTGAAGAGGCAAGGCTATAGCACTGTGCTGGAAAACAGGACCACCCGGGGAGTCGGAGAGCAGAAGCTGGAAGGAAGGACCCAGAGCAGGAGCCAAGGTCTGAACTGATTTTGTGCTGATGCTCAGGGAAATGAGGGATGGCTTTTACTTACTACATTTCTATATTTCTGTACTTCACACATTTTCTTTAAGACTTTTTTATTTTTAGTTTTTGTTTGTTTGTTATAAAAATAAGATACGCTCTTCAAAAAAACTTGAGAATTGTTAGGAAAACAAAGCCCCACCCCTTGGTACCCCCAGTTAAAGCAAGCATGTTTGCTAACACTCTGGGTTTGATGGTTTGTTTAGAGGGAACCCCCACAAAACTGTAAGAAACGTTTCTTTGAAATGGATTGCTATGAGTCACTACAAATGCTAGGTGAGAACTAAAGGGTTGGGTCCTGGCTCCAGCTGAGGGTAAGTTAGGAAGCAGGGCACTAGCTGGGCATCACCCACCCATACGCCATACTCCTCCAGGACTGGGGAGGGCACAAGCAGCAGGCTTCTGGGGTTCCTGCAAGTGGGTGATGGGTGACAAGTGGCAAGTGGCTGGGTAGGCCAAAGGCCTGTTCAAACCTAAATGTGTTTCGAAGAACACTGGAGCTTGGAATCCTAACCTCAAAGGCATCTGACATTTGCTCATGTGCCCTGAATGCTTTCCTGTGGGTGTGAGACAGGCAAAGAAATAACTGAGCCTCAAGAAAGCCAGTAACTCACCCCAGACCACACAGCCAATGTGGGTGCCTTCCCTAGCCTCAGCACGCAATGTTTTGCTAAGTTGCTCTGAAAACCAAGAGTGCCAAGATCTCCTGGGATGCCAACCAGAAAACACCCGCCTCTCCCATCCCTATGAAAGCCTGAAGCCCCTCTCTGGTTCCCAGGCCAAGCTTGGACATTCCATACAGGGTTGAGCCAGGTTGCGATGTCCTGGAGTGCCTGTCACCACCCCCAGCCATTTTACACACCTTTTTGCCTGAGAAGGACTTCTTGATGAGTTGAGTCGCTAGTTCCTTGGGCAGGAAGGAGGCCTGGGCATCCAGCTTGCTGATCCCTTGGGGCTCAAAGATGTCCACGTCGATCTGCATCATTGAAGCAATTCCTGAACCAAGGCTCCCATTCGGGCCATCATCAAGTCTCAGCCAAGAGTCAACATGTGTCCTGGCCACCTATTGTGTGCAATGTCCACCCAGCTCCCAGCAAAGGGCCTGGCAAGTCATAGGCACTCCAAAAATATTCTCTAAATAAAGATGTGCATGCTTACACCCCTTAACTCAGCTACCACTGAGGTGCCAGAGACAATCAGAGTCCCTGAGGCTGCCCAGGACTTTCTGGTTTACAGACCACATGGACATTTATTGTCTCTTGTAATCCCTGTGGCCATCTTGGGACACGCAGGAACCCTCATTAACAGAGAAGTTAACTGAGCTGAGGCTCAGAGAGGAGGAGGTTAGAAGGTTCAGGAAGCCTCCTGCCCACGGAGAGACCATCGGAGCCCCCCGAAGAGCCAGTCCCCTGCCCTGTGTGCTCAGGTCTGGGATGGTGAATGACGGATTTCGAGCCAATGCTGAGAGCCATGGCGAGGGGTCAGCAGGAGCCCTGCTCCCAAGACCTGCCCTGAGTCTGTGGTCACCAGCAATGTACCTCAAAATGATGCACCAGCTGCTTGGGCTTGACTTTGATGACGATGTCATACTGCATAAGCTTTCGCTTCAGCACCTCCTCGTAGGTCAGCCGGAACATGGCCTTGCTCTGGGGTCCAATGGTGATGTGGATGGTGAACTGCTCCATCGTTCTTCCTGAGGCCCTGGTCATACCGACATAGCCAATAACACAGACAAATGTAAGTGACATGTGGGTCCTTGTCACCTAACGCATGGGCCTCAGTATCAGTTTCTTTTATTTTAGTGCTATTATTCAGTATCTTTGGCCTCACTTTTATCTTAGCTGGCCGGACAGAGTCAGGGTCCCAAGGACAGGGCCCAAGGACAGGGTCCCACTTCTCTTGCAGGCTGGCCTGGGAGACGGGCAAGTCAACACCGGCCTTGTCCAGCACACCTGTGCTGACATTTGGGTTCAGGCAGTTTGCTCACTTCCCAGCGGTCTGGGGCTGCCCTCTACCTGAGTCCACCTTGCAGTCCTCAGATCTGTCCTGAGCTCAGAACTCACCGGACAAGGCCAGCATTCTCTCCTGAGATGGCTGCTTTCCGGTACTGCTTCCATGCAGTTGCTTTTTCCTTTATGTCTCCGATAAATGCTTTCCCATTTGTTGTGCTGCAGGGAGGAAGAAGCTCTCAGGGGAAGTGCCCTTCCCTGACGACACAGGTCCTTCATAGTGGAGGTGCTCCCAGCCCAGACCCTGAGAAAGCACTTTCCAGGTGAGTGCTCATGAGAAGGTGTCTCCTACTGGTCTACTTCTGCCCACAGAATTGCTTGGAGGCCCCTTAGCAGTGAGGTGGGCAGCTACAGCCAGAGTCTAGCAAAAACCATGGATGCCGGCCTTTGCTCCTTGGGCCCTAGGCTGAAAGCCTGGTCAGAGGCCCCAGTCTGCTGCCCACAATGGGAGCCCAGAACAGATCTATAGGGCTAGTCCTCCCTTCAGAGCTAAAGTGGCCTGTGGCCCTCTGGGAAATGAGGAGATGGTCTGCACTGTCCAGCCACTCTGAGCTGTGGTCTTGCCTGGGCCCGGAGAATGGACAGTTCTGGGTGTGGGAGTCAGGCAGGGCACGCACATGGCAAAGTCACTGATGAAGGCTGTCTTGGGGATCTCCACATTGAAGCCCACTTCCTGGGCTTTGTCGGCAGTGTTGACCACTTGGCTGGTGATGACATAGTGGGCGAAGCGCGAGGTCACTTTGCAGTTGACTTTCAGACTCCGGATGATCACACCGTTGACAGTCTAAGGTGAGACGTGAGGGCACTGTGGGCTGGGATGGGGACCTCTGAACCAGTGAGAGACCTTGTGTCGTATTAAGGTCAGCACCCAGTTCTCACTGGCGCAAGGTGCCTGAGGAACAGACCGGACCTCCTAGGGAGACCCATCAGTTTTCTCTGCCTGAGCCCGAGCAGTGGAGATGAGGTGGGGCAGGAGAGTCCCCATTTCCAGGAGACGGGAGTCCCTCTACCCATAGCACTAACAGAGGGGCACCCCCCAGGGGACAAGGAAAACAAGGCTCTAATAATGGCCCCACCCCAGACTCCTTTGCGGAGACTCACTCACTGTGTCTACAGCCTGTCGCTTCTGTAAAAACAAACCAGAGTCAATGTGAGTGTGAATGCTCAGGGTACCATGGCATTTTGTCAAGGGATAGGAGTGGGACACAGCCTATATCCTCTGCCCTTTGGCCTTACTCTCCAGTCAGAGTTGGTCAAGATGGGTGGGGATGGCCTCAGCCCCTGGTGTGAGGGTCTTGTGTCCCCCTCCCAGGCCTTGTCCAGGCTCAGCTGCCTGTTTCTGCCCCGAGGGTTTATTCACATACCTCGCTGCTTTTGGGCCTTTTGGGTGCACCCTGAGCGGGCACGGCCTGCAGGATGAGGAGGGACACCAGGGACAAACTCAGCAGCGCCCGCATCCCCATGGCACCGTCCATGGTCTCAAGGTTCCTGCTGACTTGTCACTTCACTCCAACCATCAATCAATAAAGTGCTGGACAAACATGGATTAAACATTAGACAAGATGAGGGCAAATATTACAATTTGGGGGATCCAGAATTGACAGTGGGGGGGTTCCCAGCTGAGCAAACTCCTGATGGACTCAGACTGTGCCCCTCTGCCTAGAACTGCACTCAGACCACGTGAATTGTGAAGACCCTGTCTGCCTGTCTGATCCTGAATATTGCACAGGGCAACCAGCAGCCATGACACCATGACATGTGTTGAGAGACCCCAGTTAAAATGGATTTCTAAACTTTCTTAAGTGTTACTTTAAAAAGTCTTTAAGCATCAAGAAACTTTTCAGACAGTCACACTTCAGCCTGGGAGGGCTGTGGCTTAGAGAGCGTCTGCCCACACACCGTTTCTGATGGCACCATCCCCCCAGTTCTGCCACGGGCAGGCTGGGCAGTCCTTGGGATGCCCAGTGGGTGACCCTGCTTCAGGACAGTTGCTTCATCTCTCTAGTCCTTCTCACCCAGATTTGGAAAGAAGAACAGAGGTAGCCCTATCGTTACTCCATCTGGGCAGAAGGTGACAATGAATGCCACCTCTTCATAATGGAAGGCTGGTTATGTGCAAAGCATTCCTCTAATCTCTTTACTGTCCAACTTCATCCTCATGGCATCCCTGAATGTTTCAGGTATGGGGGCCTCTGAGCCTGGGAGAGACTTCCGTGTTGCACTGGGGCTCAGCACAGAGCTCTGCTGCAGGAGGCCAGCAAGTGACAGAGCAGACATTCAAACCAAGATCTTTCAGACTCCAAAACCCAAGCCTATCAGGTGATGAGAGAAATGCCCTCTGCATCATTAGAATGAAGGGAGAAGCAGAGTCAAAGACCCATCCTTTACTTGCAATTTCTTAATTTTCATGTCGAAACCCCTCCTGTCTCTTACAAGCCACAGCACATTGCACAGACATGATCCCTGGTCAATCTACCCTAGGGCCCTGGGTGGAATGTACTGGCTGCTGTGACCCTGATATGGTGAGTGGACCTAGGGGACTCTTTGATCTCTATTTGCTTGTCTTGAACTTTGTCTCATAGAGAAGCTTCTGGGAAAGTGTTTATTGTACTCTAGCTGGAATGACCTTCTGGCCTGTTTTCTGGCCTTTGTAAAAGATAAGGTGGATCAACACTAAACTGTACATTTGAGGTTCTGTCTTCCTGCACCAGTATGGACTGAGCCCTGTGGTAGGTTGGCACAGTGCCAAGCAGTGGATCACCACAATGCTGAAACTCGAGTGCATCACTATGTTCAGTGAGCTGATGCTTTGGAAAAGGAGTCAGACAAGTCAGAGGAAGCCTAGTGAATCTAAGGAGTGCTCAGAAGCTAAAGAGGAACATGAAGGAGCAGTAGAAATCTGGAAAGAGTGGAACTCATCTTCCACATGGCTTAGGAGAAGGCTCCTGGAGGAGGTGTCCAGGAAATAGAGTGGCACTTAGGAAGAAGTAGATGGGAAGGGGAGGGAGAGAAAAGTGGATGGGTAAGTGTGAAGCATGCTCGGGGAAGGTGCAGCTGTCTATGCGATGGGAGCAGAACCTGATGGGGAGGGTGGGGAAGAAGGGTGGGAGGTGTTTTGTGACTGGCTGGTGCAGGGGTCTGAAAGTGGACAGTCTTTTGGGTGGGAAACACTAAAGTTACTTGAGCAGGGGTATGGCAAGATCAAGACTGGGCTGTTGAGAGATTGATAGCACTGAGCCTGGTCCATGGAAGGTGCTGCAAACACGTTTGTGTGGACTGGGGAGGATACAGGATATGAGGAGAGCCAGCAGTGACTAGTGTGTGGCCGACTTCTCAATCCTAATTCATTTACTGCTCACAACTACCTCCCAAGAGATAGATACTGTTATTATTTTCATGTTAGAGGAAAGGTTGACTTAAACTGTAGATGTGGTTGGTGAGGAGAGGGGTGGACAGAAAGCAACTGAGTTTGCTGAGGATCGAACCTGGGGGCCTGAGAGGGTAGCTGTGCTGCTGGTGCAACAGGACAGCACCCAGGACCAGACCTGCTCTGAGCTCTACCCACATGGCCAACTGCCTGCTTGATTTTCACAGAGCCCCTCAATCTGATGTGTCCAAACTGAAATCATGACCTTTCTCTCCCCTTCCTGCATACCAACCACCAAGCCTGGTCTTCCTGCTCTTGTTGTCTGCCCCAATGAAGGCCACCACCATCCTTCCAGGTATCCAAGTCAGAAAGCTTGGTGTAATCCTGATGCCACCCTCCCCTAGACACCCTACCCCAACCCTCCAAATATCTTTCTAGTCCACTTACTTCTCTCCAAATCCCCAGTTACCACTGAGTCTAAGCTACCCTTGTGTATCACCTAGAGGTCTGTTCCTCCTACTTCCATTCTGCTCCCACAGACTATTCCATAGCAGCAATCAGAGTCATTATTTAAAAAGCCAATCTGCTCTAGGCCTTTCCTTGTCTAACACACTTACAGGTCCTGAATAGTCTGGCCCTGTTGACCCCTCCATGTCAACCCAGACATAACCCCTCTAGGTCTCTCAGCTTCAACCATAGAAACTTTTTCCTGATCTGTGTAGGCAGGTGCTTTTCCACTCATTCATTTATCAACCCTCAGTTTATCCATTCACATCGGCTGGGTGCCAGCTCCATGCCAACTCCTGGATTTGGGGTGTTGAAGCAGGTAGGCCGAGACTCAGTGTTCAGGGAGTTCACACTGAGGTGTGGAGGTGGAAACACAAAAGAAGTCCACTGGGTCTTAGCACAAGCTGCCCCCTCTGACTGAAAAAGTTTTCCTTCAAACTTAAGCCCATGCAATGCTTGTGTGGGGCAACCTCCTCCAGATGCCTAGGCTGGGCCCAGTGACCTTTCTGCACATCACTGACCTCTCTTAGCAAGAATAACTTGTTAGTATGCCTCATTGGTTAATGGCCATCCCCCTCTTTGACTGTATGCCCCCAGGGGCAGGACTTTATCTTGTTCATTTTGTGTTTCCAGGGCAGGGTGCCAGCCTTGCACCCTGTGGGTCCATAATAAATGTCTATAGAGTGAAGGATAGGTTTTTTAAAAAAGACTTTATTTATTTATTTTTAGAGAGGGGAAGGGAAGGAGAAAGACAGGGAGAGAAACATCAATGTGTGGTTGCCTCTCATGTGCCTCCTACTGGGGACCTGGCCCACAACCCAGGCATTGCTCTGACTGGGAATCAGACCTGTGACCCTTTGATTCGCAGGCCTGCACTCAATCCACTGAGCCATACCAGCCAGGTGAATGATAGATTTGATGAAGAGCAAGTTGGGGGAGGCAAAAGGCAGAGGGCAGAGCACAGAATCTTGGGAAACTTCAAAACCCGAGGCCCGCGTGAGAAGTCAAAATAGACTAGAAGAGGTCCTGGCTGATGTGGCTCAGTGGGTTGAGTGCTGAACCGAGAACCGAAGGGTTTGATTCCCAGTCAAGAGCACAGGCCTGGGCTGGGGCTGTGGGTCAGACCCCCCAACTTGGGGGCATGTGAGAGGCAGCTGATAGATGTTTCCTTCACACTTTGATGTTTCTCTCCCTCTTTCTCCCTCCCTTCCCCTCTCTCTAAAAAAATATAAATAAAATTTAAAGAGAGAGAAAGTGAGTGAGAGAGAAAGAGAAGTGTATAAAGGGAGCAGGAAAGCTAGGAAAATTCTAGAAACCAAGAAACAAGAGGATTCCCCAGAGGGGCAAAGACTGCTGAGGAGAAGAGGAGTGGATAAGGACTAAAATAAACATCTAGGAAATCTGAGTCGTTTTCCGGGAAGCTTTCTTGGCGGCAGATGAGGCCAAGTGACTGGGGGGTGGGGGGCAGGGCACAGATTAGGAGCAAGCAAGCCCTAAAGCTTCTAAAATATTGTTTGGAGCTTAACTTCCCAGGGACTCATTTTCTTTAACTGTAAAGTAAGGACGATAAGAGCAACAGCCACACAGGGTTGATGTAAGCATTCAATGAACTAATGTACTTGACTCCAGGAGGAGGCTGAGGATTAACTGGGACAGAGCATGAATTAACTTTCCTGGGTAATAGTATGCTCTAAATTATATATTTTCAAGAGGGTGATACTGCCCTCAACTGGAAAAAATTGGTTGTCAGATATAGGCAAATAAATCTTATATTTCAAAGAGATGAAGTCAGGTCCTCGAGAAATACACTCCTGAATTGTATGAGATAATATATCCATTCCCTCAAAAGGACACAGGAAGGCTTTGCAATTGCAAGATTTTTGGGGGGTGGTGGGTAAATACTTTAGGAGAAGGAGGCGTTGGCTGGATCAAACAAATTCTTGTGGCAGCTTCGAGCTTTCATAGGCAGGCCTTTAATGGAGGGCCAGGGTCCTCCTAGGGACACTGCCTTAGGCTGTTAGAAGCCGCGCCAGAATTTGATCAAGTCACTTAGTGTAGGGGAATGGATCGAGTCATTACATTGTTCTTCACATTTTCAATACAAAAGCAGATGTACTTAGGGGTGAAGCGTACTGATAGATCCAATTTACTCTGAAATGAGTGAAAAATAAGGTGGATTGCTGGATGCACAGATAGACGTGTGACCAAAGGGGTAAACAAACCGAATGCTACTTGTAAGAGTCAGTCCCTACCTCTCACCCTCATTAGAATGTGAGCTCCAGGAGAGCAATGAGTTTGTCGGCCTGGAACATGGTAGGCAACCAATAAATATTTACAAAACGAATGGATAATACTTGTAAAGCGCTTAGAACAAGTACTCAATAAGCGAAAGCCTCCGTAGCTCTATTTATTTTGCCAGGAACCCGGAAGTTCGTGGCGGTGGAGCTGAGCCTGAGAGTTCGAGCAGAGGCCAGTGGATCCGCTCTGGCCGCCTTGCGTCTCTCTCTATGGCAGGTCCTCCCGAGGTTGCGGAACCACTCAGTGGAGCCTCCCGGACAGACAGAGCATGCGCGGAGCTGCGCCGGCCGGGATCGCTATGGTAGCGGCGTCGCCTTGGGCCGTGAGTTCGTGCTCCCGCGCGGGCCAGGCCGTCTTTGCTGCCCGGGACACCGTAGCTTAACCGGGCATGAACTGGGCCTCTCGCTGTGGCCTGCTGCCCTGCCTTCCGCCACCGTCGCTGCCGCACCGCGACTGTTGCCCCGCGCCGGGAACATGCCCCTGGACGCCTACAGCTACCTGCAGGTCGTGGGCAGGGGCAGCTACGGGGAGGTGACACTCGTGAGGCACCGGCGGGACGGCAGGCAGGTCGGCTGAGTTTAGGGGTCCACCTAGGGGCATGGGGCATGCAGGGGTTCGCTGAGGGCGCCATCCAAATGTTAGGCCCCGTGGTGGCTAAAGTGGACTCACCTCGTTTGATACTTCCTTTGGGCCAATGTCCTAGACTACCAAGACAGGCCCTGCCTTACTGTAATATGCACCCTGGACGAACACCCTGTAGTTTTTCTTTGTAGTTTTAATTGGTGTGCTTTATCTACACTTTCTCCCTCGCTCAGCGATCCCATGAGATCACGCATTCCCAGAACCTAACACAGCACCTGGCAAATATTACTCCTTTAACGACAGGCCCCACACTTGCGGCCTCAAGGCCATGGACTCACTTAAAACTCAACTCCTCACCTTCCCGCCAAACCTTCTTTCATGATCTTTATTTCAGGTAGTAGCACCACCAACCAGTTGCCCATGCTGGACACCTGGGGGTCATTCTTGACTCTCCTCTTCCCCCCACTCCCATTCACCTGTCTACCCAGCCAGCAGGCTCTTCTCCCCCTCCACTGGTACTACCCCAAACCAGGACATCATTATCTCTAGATAAACTATTGTCAAAGCTTCCCACTGGTCCTCCCTGCCACTAGACTTGCTCTTCTCCAATCCATCCCCTTCAGTGCAGTCTTAGTGATTGTTCTAAAACTTATATCTAATGTCACTCCTTTGCTTAAAGCACTTTATCCCAACCTCAGGATAACGAGCTAGTTCTTTACTGTGGTTTATAAATAGGGTGACTAACGTGCTGTACAAACTGGGACAAGTTTGAAACTAAAAGGAAGTGCCATTAATCATTACACAAGCAGTGGGTCTGCCACAGACAAGCTTAGAGATGTCTCCTTAAGTATAAGGCTTTCTCACCTATTCTGCCTTATTTCCTGTGCTGGTCACTTAGGTCAGGGAGGTCACTGGTTTTTTTGAGTTGAGGATGGGGTTGTGTCTGTAATAATAGCCCCTCACATTTGATCAGTAGCTCACATTTTACAATGCACATTTATATATGTGTTTGTTAAGTAATGAGTTGTATGGTCTTTTGATTGGTTGAGGGCATTGTATTAGGTGTGAGAGGATATTGATTTTTTTAAAAGTAGAAATAATGTATGTTGAGGATCAGTGAGTTTTAACCTTATTGGGCTATGGATCCCTTTGAGTACTTAATGCAACTCATGGCTCCATTCTGTCTGCAGAAATTTTTGGTGACAGCCCCCCGCAACCCCTGCTCTAAGTCTAACCTGTAAAGAACACTGTTAGTGATAACAAATTATTTTTTCCCAATTTTGTGCTTTGCGAATAATAAAATGACTAGGTTATTGGACAGGTTCCAGAAGATTAGTTTTGAGGACATTCAGGAGAATCCTAAATACTTCTGAACCTATAGAACTGTATGTTTATTTGTGCATTGTAAAATTATGTGTTTTCTTTGTAGTATGTCATCAAAAAACTGAACCTCCGAAATGCCTCCAGCCGAGAGCGGCGAGCTGCTGAACAGGAAGCACAGCTCTTGTCTCAGCTGAAACACCCCAATATTGTCACCTACAAGGAGTCGTGGGAGGGAGGAGATGGTCTGCTGTACATTGTCATGGGCTTCTGCGAAGGAGGTGACCTATACCGAAAGCTCAAGGAGCAGAAAGGGCAGCTTCTGCCTGAAACTCAGGTGGTGGAGTGGTTCGTTCAGATTGCCATGGCTCTGCAGGTACTGTCCAGACTCTTAGCATCCTCCTTGTTCTGAGGGGACGGGGAATGGCAGGTGGGTTTTATGGAAATTCTGCCCCAAATGTGTACATGAAAAAATGTATTTTTTAAAATTCATTTATGAAGCAGACCCAGTCACCTGTGTTGTATCATTGGAATGTTTCTGAATAAGGGATATGAAGTAAACGTGGATTTCATGTCTAATTAGAGGGAAAGCCAGTTTTCTATTCTTTTTTTTGTTGTTGTTTTTAATTTGATTTTTAGATTTTATTTATTTATTTTTAGACAGAAGGGAAGAGAGGGAGAAAGAGAAGGAAACATCAATGTGTGGTTGTCTCTTGTGTGCCCCCTGTGGGGACCTGGCCTGAAACCTGGGCATATGCCCTGACTGGGTTTGAACTGATGACCCTTTGGTTCACAGGCTGGCGCTCAATCCATTGAGCCACACCAGCCAGGGCTATATTCTTTTTAGTATTTATATCAAAGTTCATTTTAAGGGCCCTGAGTCTACAGAGAGCAAAGAATGACCATGTTAGTTATCAGCTGGTCAACTGTTTCATACTGAAAGGTGGTTGGGCTTATTAGTATGCCTAAACTGTAGGGGTTTGGGCTTTAAACCTGTGGCATAGTGAGTGGAAATGCAAAACATGTTTGTGGTTAAATATACACATATTCAAGAGTGAGACTGTCTATGAAATACTCTGGAACTGGGCAGATTTGTCTAGAATTAATTGATCTTGTAGTTTAAATTCTAGGACTCTCTAAATAAAAGTGAACTTGTTATATTTGAAAATATTATTAAGCTGCAAATTTTATGAATCTGAGAGGAATGTGCACCTGACCTTGTGTAAGTTGGTTTTTCTACTTTCAGGAGGAGTTTGTAAGCATGTTTTTTAACTGGATCCATATAACACTAAGTGGTATAATGGTCGGTGAACAATTGTGAAGGAAGCTGGGCAAATTAATGCATAGAACTTAATTTTTTTTTATCTTTTTTAAAAGCAATGTCCACCTTTAACACCTGCTGTAGTACACAAGTGTTTGTTGGGGAGCTGCTGAGCACTTGGGGAACCCCAGGTGCTTAGGGTGTGTCTATGCTTAGTACTCTGTGGAGCTGTCATGGGCCCATCAGTGAGCTTTAGAGGGCTCAGGGGTGGCTGGGGAGCTGGTGGGGGTCAGGGTCAGGTGCGCCCAGTCAGGCCACAGGGCAGCATGTGGCTTTCTCTGGATTTTCAGACAAGGCAATTCTCTTAGTGGACGTTGTGGTGATATCCTTCAGGACTTGCAGGTGTGAGCATGGGTCACTGAGTGCAGATACAGCATCTGGGAAATGGGTGCCTGCCCTGGGCCAGGTGGGGTGGACTTCCACATCTTGGACTTGAATAGTGTGTTCACCATTGTGGACTTGCCCAGCCCACTCTGCCCAGCACTGTCCACTCTACTGCCATCACTGTCATCATGGTTGCCATTGCTTCCATTTTAATGTTTAAAATTTTTAAATTTACTGATTGATTTTAGAGAGAGAGGCAGGGGGAGAGAGATAGAGAAACATCGATTTGTTCCATTTATTTATGCATTCATTGGTTCATTCTTGTATGTGCCCAGACCAAGGATTGAACCTGTAACCTTGACATACCTGGTAAGACGCTCTACTCAACTGAGCTACCCAGCCAGGGCAATTTTAAAAAAAAAGTTATTTATTTGAGAGAGAGGAAGGTAGGGAGAAAGAAAGGAGAGAAATATCAATGTGTGAGAGAGACATCAGTCAGTTGCCTCTCATATGTGTTCCCAGCTAGAGAGACTGAACCCACATCCTAGACATGTGCCCTGACTGTAAATCCAACCAGCAACCTTTTGCTTTGCAGAATGATGCCCAACCGAGCCACACTGGTCAGGGAGAGGCAATTTTTTTCCTCTGGAAAGTTGTAAATTAGACTTTTTATTTAGAGACTATAAAACTACAGTGTTTGATATGTAGGTAACTAAGACTCTTTAACTCATGCAATTATTGATGGTAGATTAGAAGTCAGGAATAAATGAGCATGTAAGTGTATTTATATTTAATGAAATTTTCCTTCTTTATTCAGTATTTACATGAAAAGCACATCCTTCACCGAGATCTGAAAACTCAAAATGTCTTCCTAACAAGAACAAACATCATCAAAGTGGGTGACCTGGGAATTGCCCGAGTGTTAGAAAACCATTGTGACATGGCGAGCACCCTCATTGGCACACCCTACTATATGAGCCCTGAACTGTTCTCAAACAAACCCTACAACTATAAGGTAGGATTGGGCTCTGTGCCCAGCTCACCTTCTCTTGAGAACAGTATTCATAATTTCAAAGCTCCTCAGAATAGTTATGTCAAAGAATTCTCTGTGAATTGCTTTAAGGAAAATGTCTTTTCTTTTTTTAAGAGGAAAAATGTAAATAAGGCATTCTGATATATAACCATTTACTGTTTTTCTTTTCTAGTCTGATGTTTGGGCTCTGGGATGCTGTGTTTATGAAATGGCCACCCTGAAGCATGCCTTTAATGCAAAAGACATGAATTCTCTAGTTTATCGGATTATTGAAGGAAAGGTAAAGAATATTCTGGAACTAATTGTTTTTAATATTTGGAGCAAGGTTAATTCAATGCAGCTTTGTAAGTAGCTGCTGGTAAAAATGAATAATCATTGGTGTTGGGTGGACAATTAAAAATTCTGGGTCCCTTCTGTGGGCAAGGTTGAACTAGATGAGAAAGAATCTATCATTTCTTAATATTACTTTGTAAAAGTGGCTTAATGGCTCCAAGGGATTGACCTTTTGAAAACCACTACCTGTAGCCACAGGATGTGTGCCCTGAGAGATTATTGGTAGCTTTTCCTAAGCAGCTATGGTTAAATGAGCCCCATTTGAAATGCGTTCACTCTGGCCCTGTCTCGTGTGGCTCAGTTGATTGGGCATTGTTCCGCAAAGTGAAAGGTCACTGGTTTGATTCCTAGTCAGGACACATGACTTAAGTTGTCAGTTTGGTCTCTGATCAGGGCAAGGGGTAACCAGTGTGATGTTTCTCTCTCACACTGATGTGTCTCTCCCTGTTTTTCTCCCTCCCTTCCCCTCTCTCTAAAAATAAATAAATAAAAATCTTTAAAAAGATGAGTTGTCTCTGTTGGAACTTGTTCCTTTGATAATCATCACAATCACTAGTAACCATTTAAGAACTGCAAAAGGCACTATGTGATACAGATGCTAGCGTGACTGACTTTTTGTATTCCATGAGGTTAATTCATTCCATGAGGTTGGTTGCCTTCTGCAGTGTCAGGCATCCATTCACACACCAAGTCAGAGGCTATGAATCACCTGCAGATTCTATTATGACACCAAGACTCATTTAATTTTTTAGTTTGATAAATTTTGAAAAATACAAAAAGTAAAATTTGCCCATAATTCTACTTAAAGAATCAAACAAGAAATGAGTGAAATCCCCTTCTCCTATCCATTTTAATCCCCTGGAGATAACCATTGCTAACAATTTGGGGCATGGCATTCCAGGCTTTTTCCTGTCTTTTGCAGGTGTAACTCTAGGTGTACATATACACATATACACAAAGATACTTTTAAAAAGTAACTGAAATGGAATCAGACTGTCCCCATTGTTAGACAACTTACTTTTTGACCTAATATATGAGGGATATCTTTCCAGGTTGGCACATCTTTTATTTTTTGAAGAGGCTGCCTAGTATTTTATTAGAAGGCTATACCACAGTCTTTCCTACAAGTTCCCTGTGGGTGGACATTTAAGTTGTTTCTAGTTTTTCACTACTGCAAGAACAGTACTGCAATGAATATCCTGTTACATAACTCCTTAGGAACTTACTCCCTTATTTTCTTTAAAAAAGTCATTTACAAATTTGTTTTCAATTACAGTTGACATACGTTACATATTAGTTTCAGGTGTACACCCCTGTGATCAGACATTATATAACTTACTAAGTGATCATCCCAAAATCCATCTCATATCCATCTGACACCATACATAGTTATTAGAATAGTATTGACTATATTCCCTATGCTGTGCTTTACATCCCCATGACTATTCTGTAACTACCAATTTGTACTTAAATCCCTTCACCTTTTCACCCATCCTGCCAGTCCCCTTCCCATCTGGCAACTGCCAAAATATTCTCTGTATATATGAGTCTGTTTTTGTTCTGCTTGTTGGTTTACTTTGTTTTTTAAATTCAACTGTTGATATGTATTTATTACCATTGTATTGTTCACATTTTTGATATTTTTTCTTCTTAAAGAGACCCTTTAACATTTCATATAATACTAGTTTGCTGGTGATGAACTCTTTTATTGTCTGGGAAGTTCTTTATATGTTTTTCTATTCTATTTTTTCTATTTTTAATTTTTTAAAGATTTATTTATTTATTTTTAGAGAGAGGAGAAGAGAGAGAGAATGAGAGGGAGAGAAATATTGATGTACAAGAGATACATCAGCCCTGGCTGGAGTATCTCAGTGGATTGAGTGTGGGCTGCGAACCAGGCATTGCAGGTTCGATTCCCAGTCAGGGCACATGCCTAGGTTGCAGGCCATGGCTCCTAGCAACCGCACATTGATGTTTCTCTCTCTCTCTCTCTCTCTCTCTTTCTCCCTTCCCTCTCTAAATATAAATAAATAAAATCTTTTTTTAAAAAAGAGAGAGATACATCAATCCGTTACCTCTTGCATGCCCCCAGTCTTGTGGTGTGGACCTGGCCCATACCCCAGGCATTGCCCTGACTGAGAATCAAACCGGTGACCCTTTGGTCTGCAGGCACTCAGTCCACTGAGCCACACCAGCCAAGGCTGTCCTTCTATAGTAAATGCTGGCTTTGCTGGGTAGAGTAATCTTGGTTATAGGTCCTTGCTTTTCATCACTTGGAATATTTCTTGCCACTCTCTTCTGGCCTGCAAAGTGTCTGTTGAGAAATCAGCTCAACAGACACTTTTTAAAAATATATATATTTTATGCTATTACATTTGTCCCATTTCCCCTGCTTTATTCTCCTCCACCCTGCACACCCTCTCCCACCCACATTCCCCACCTTTAGTTCATGTCCATATGTCGTAAGTTCTTTAGCTTCTACATTTCCCATACTATTCTTGCCCTCCCCCTGTCTATTTTTTATCTACTATCTATGCTACTTATTCTCTGTACCTTTTCCCCCTCTCTCCTCCTCCCACTCCCCTGTTGCTAACCCTCCATGTGATCTCCATTTCTGTGGTTCTGTTCCTGTTCTAGCCATTTCCTTATTTTGTTTTTGTTTTTGTATTAGGTGTGGTTGTTAATAATTGTGAGTTTGCTATCATTTTACTGTACCTGTTTTTTATCTTCTTTTTCATAGATAAGTCCCTTTAACATTTCATAAAATAACAGCTTGGTGATAATGAACTCCTTGAACTTGACCTTATCTGGGAAGCACTTTATCTGCCCTTCCATTCTAAATGAAAGCTTTGCTGGATAGAGTAATCTTGGATGTAGGTCCTTGCCTTTCATGACTTGAAATACTTCTTCCCAGCCCCTTCTTGCCTGCAAGGCCTCTTTTGAGAAATCAGCTGGCAGTCTGATGGGAACTCCTTTGTAGGTTACTGTCTCCTTATCTCTTGCTGCTTCTAGGATTCTCTCCTTCATCTTTACCTTGGCTAATGTAATTATGATGTGCCTTGGTGTGTTCCTCCTTGGATCCAACTTCTTTGGGACTCTCGGAGCTTCCTGGACTTCCTGGAAGTCTATTTCCTTTGCCAGATTGAGGAAGTTCTTTATTATTTGTTCAAATAACTTTTCCACCTGTTGCTCTTCCTCTTCTCCTTGTGGTACCCCTATAATTTGGATATTGGAATGTTTCAAGATGTTCTGGAGGTTCCTAAGGCTCTCCTCACTTTTTTGAATTCTTGTTTCTTCTTTCTTTTCTGTTTGGTTGTTTCTTTCTTCCTTCTGGTCCACTCCATTGATTTGAGTCCCAGTTTTCTTCCCATCACAATTGGTTCCCTATGCATTTTCCTTCATTTCACTTAGCGTAGTCTTCATTTTTTCATCTAATTTGCAAACAAATTCAACCAATTCTGTGAGCATCCTGATTACAAGTGCTTTAAACTGTGCATCTTATAGATTGGCTATCTTTTGGTCACTCAGTTATATTTGCTCTAGAGCTTTCATCTGTTCTTCCGTTTGGGCCATATTTTTGTCTTGTTGAGCCTGTTACTTATGAGGGGTGGAGCCTTAGGTGTTCACCAGGGCGGGGCAACCCAGTTGCTGGGTTGTGATGCTGTATGTGGGGGTGGGGTCTGCGAGGGAACAATGGCGTCCACTGCACCCTCTGTCAGATCCCAGTACCCTCCGCCACTTCCCCCAAGCAAACTGGGCCCTCTGGTGCTGATTCCTATGTGGGTGGGCCTGTGTACATTCCAGGACCCTGTGGGTCCCGCCAACAAATTCTCCTGTGAGGCTAGGAGTCTCTCCCAGCCCCTCAACTGCCACAGGTGTTTTCAGTAGGTGCCTTGAGGCTTTATTTCCTGGCACTGTGACCCTGGGCCATGTGGTCTGTCTCGCTCCCCAGTTTCGCCTGGTTTGTCTGCGAGCGAATATGGGACCTCCCAGTCAGCCAGCCGCCTTGAGAGCAGTGCCTCGCTTCACAATTACAGTCTTATTGGGTCTGCCTGTTGCCACCCTGAGCCCTGGGTCCGCCCGTTGCCGTCTTGGGCTCCTGGTGCCACCGCTTTTTGTGCCTCGACCTCTCCTCACCCGGCCGTCTGTCTCCGCCCTGCCTACTGGTCTGGGTGAATGTGTCTATTTTAATTCCTTGGTTGTTGGACTTCCATACAGTTCAATTTTCTGTCAGTTCTGGTTGTTATTTTGTTTCTAAATTGTTGTTGTCATTATTTTGTTTGTGCGAGGAGGCACAGTATGTCTACCTGTGCCTCCATCTTGGCTGGAAGTTCAACAGACACTTTGAACTGATGTGTCTAATGGGAGTTCCCTTGTGGATAACTAACTGCTTTTCTCTTGCTCTTTTTAAGATTCTCTCTTTGTCTTTACCCTTTGGCATTTTAATTATGATGTGTCTTGGTGTGGGGCTTTTTGAGTTCATCTTGTTTGGGACTCTCTGTGCTTCTTGGACTTGTATGATTATTTCCTTTATCAGGCTAGGGAAGTTTTCCGTTATTTTTTCAAATAGGTTTTCAATTTCTTGCTCTCTCTTCTCCTTCCAGCACCTCATGATGGGAATGTTGGTACGCTTGAAGTTGTCCCAGATGCTCCTTTTACTGTCCTCATTTTTTAAAATTTTTTTCTTTTTGCTGTTCTGATTGAATACTTTTTGTCTCCTTATATTCCAACTTGCTGATATGATTCTCAGCTTCACTTACTCTACTGTTGATTCCCTATAAATTAGTATTCATTTCAGTTAGTGTATCCTTTTCTGACTGGTCCTTTTTTATGGTGTTGGAGTTCTCACTAAGTTCATTGAGCATTGTTACAACCAGTGTTTTGAATTCTGCTTCAAGTAGATTGCTTGTCTCCATTTTGTTTAATTCTATTTCTGAAGATTTGTTCTCTTCTTCCATTTGTGACCTGTTTTTTTGTCTCTGCATTTTGGCAGCCTCCAAAATGCAGAGACAAACTGTGTTTCTTTCTATGTATTAGGTGGAGCTGCTATGTCGCCCAGGATTGGTAGAGTGGCCTAATGTATTGGGTGGCCAAAAGGTCTGTTTAGTTTTTAGTTTTTTTCCCTAAAATAAAAGACACATTTTTTTTTCATTTTCACCAATAACTTTATTGATTTGGATGTTTTGAGTATGTTGGTTATCTTCTGCATGGCATAACATTGACCTCAATTAATGTCTCAATTTGATTGCTATCAATTTCTACTAGTCTGCCCAACCCTGGAGCATCATCCAGAGAGAAATCTCCAGCATGAAACTTCACAAACCACTTTTGATATGTTCAATCAGTCACAGCACCTTCTCTATACACCGTACAAATCCTTTTTTGTGTTTCAGTTATGCTTTTACCTTTTTGAAATAATAAAGCATCATATGCCGAAATTTTAGCCTGTTTTTTTCCATCTTCAGTATTAAAATGACTACACAAAAATTAATCAATTTTGATGTTTTTTTTTTAAATGTATGCTGATATGACAGCTATCACAATACAGTCTAATAAAATTGTTTTAAATGCAGTTAAAGGCAACTAAGTGCTACTGGAGCCATCTTACAGAAAAAAACAAATGCATTTTTGGCCAGCCCAATAGTAGGTGTTCGGTAGGGTCCAGTGGCATAGTCTTCTCAACCACCTAAGCTGGGCACTTGAGGTGCACTCCCATGTGGGCTGTGTACACTCTTCTGTTGTAGTTGAGCATTGATTGCTGTTGGCAGGTCAGTGGGAGAGATTTACCCCCAGGATGATCAGCTGCAAGGACTGACGTGACCGAGGAACTCTGACCACAGTGGAGAGTCAGCTGTGCAGGGGCCCACTCTACACAGCAGGACTCATTTCAGCAGGGCTCTGATGCCCACTGAGTCTACCCTTGAGTGTGTCACTTGTGGAGGTGGTTGGGTGGTGTGCTTCAACTTGGTCTGAAGCTGTCCACTTGGTGCACTGGGTCTGGGGGCCTCCTGAGAGGTTCAGGCCAAGGTCAGCTGCCACCTCAGTTCTGCCCAGGTCCATATGGCATGAGCTACAAAATGATGTTTAGATGACTGCTACTTGTTCTGGGCCAGGAGGTGCCCAGGTGAGTTCAAACTGTGAACCAAGGTTGGCTGTTACTAGTGCCAGGCTCTGGGCCACTTATTGAGAGGTACAAGGCTTGCTGAGACCAGATACTGCTTGTTTGAGAGATTTTAGGAAAATCTGAAGCATGAGCCAAGACAAGCAATTGGTATGGAAAAGCCACTGGAAACAACTTGGGTGGGCCCAAATATTGGGTGGGATGGGGCCTCAGGGAATCACCAGAGTGCAGAAAACAATGTAATCCAGGTTGATGGAGTCTGACGTGGGGCCTGCCTGCTGGCTCTGTGGCTTCGTAGAGTGAGGGCTCAGAAAAGGAATAGTAGCCTCAAGCAGCACTTCTGTCTGGGGGAAAGCTCTTCCTTGTTTGTCCCTGGTGCCTTTCATTTTGCTGCCTCAGTGCTGGAGCTCAGAGGGAACTACCTGGGACTCTATTTCCCTCAGCCTCAATCCCCTCTTGTTACAGCCAGAAGTTACTGGGACTTCTCTTCTTTGTATTGGAATCCTGGGCTTGGGTGTCTGGTGTGGGGCTGGGACCCCTTGCTCCTTGGGTGGGCCCTCTGCAGCTGAGACATCCCTCCTAATTTTAAACTGCCACATGTGGGTGTGGGACCAGGCTGTTGTTCTTCATCTCTGCCCCTCCTACCAGTCTCGATGTAGCTTCTTTAATTCTCTAGTCATAGGACTTTGATTCAGCCAGATTTGTGGGAGGAGGTGAGTATTGCCTTTATTTCTGAAGGAGGGAATCCTCAAATTGGGACTGCTGGCTTGAAGGATAAACTTTTACAATCTTACGACTTGGCGTTATAACCAGACATCAGTATGCTTCCTATAGACTAATATACTGGTTATTTTATGCTCATGTGAATAATGACTAAATATTAGAAAACTCTACCTTTATTTACTTTGCTTCACAAGACCATTAGTCTTAGTTGCAGTGTTCTTTCTCTTTGTAGCTGCCACCAATGCCAAAAGATTATAGCCCAGAGCTGGCAGAACTAATAAGAACAATGCTGAGCAAAAGGCCTGAAGAAAGACCCTCTGTGAGAAGCATCCTGAGGCAGCCTTACATAAAGCGCCAAATCTCCTTATTTTTGGAGGCGACAAAGGCGTAAGATACTTCCTTTGCAAATAGCTGGGCTATGTAGATGGAGTAAAAGAGGGTGGTTTCTGTAATTGTAATGTGCAAAATTTAAGGTGAGTTTCTTTTAAACATGAAGTGAAAGTGCATGATTAGAACATAGATTGGGATTTGCTTAATTGCTAAAATCAGAAATTGAGAGAACCATTTAGAGAATCAGAGGGTGTCAAGGCATATTGAGTATGGTTCATTCAAAAAGACATGTGTTTTAGAAACCATATTAAAATGAGGGATCCTCTAAGAAATCTATTACATTATTTACTTTAACATAATAGTCACACCTAAAATATAGTGCCCAGATTTCTGAGACCCTCATAAGCTTCTCTCTTCACTTACAACTTCTCAAGAGAAAAAGAATTCCTTTCTTTGGTTTGCAGGTCTTACCTTCACTAAACAGCTATCCAGAATCTAAGACTTAGGGCCAGACGAGGTCTGCATGATCTCTGCCTTGTGACATGGTAAAGTTGGGAGGCTGTGCTAACAAGGCCTCAGGGGATAGAGGACCATCTTTTTGTTTACATTGTCTCTAATTTTCCACCAAACAGAACTTGGATCTTTCATCCACAGTGCTGATCTTCATGCCTCCCTTGAATTTCCCAGAGGTTTAGCCCAGTTGTGGGAACGTCATACCAAAACAGTTGGGGATATTATTTCTATATACATTTATTCTGCAAGTCAAAACTGAGTATACCAATCATTTTTACTCTCACACTCGGCAAAGCAGTTGTGGTAATATTACAAACATGTGAAATTTGAAGAAAAAAATTATCCTGGGCCCTGGCTGATGTGTCTCAGTTGGTTGGAGCATTGTCCCGTACACCAAAATATTGGGGGTTCAATTTCCAATCAGAGCACACCTAGGTTGTGGGTTCAATCCATGGTCAGGATGCATATGGGAGGCAACCAATCAATGTTTCTCACATTGATGCTTGTGTCTGTGTGTCTTTCCCTTCCTCTCCAAAATCAGTAAACATACTTAAAAAAAAGAAAATTATCCTTTTAAAATTATAATTTTAAAAGAAAAATTATTTCTTTTATCCTTAAAATAAAAAGAAAATTATTACTTCTGTCTGTAAGGCACTTTCTTGCAGAGGCTTATTTTGGAATAATTTTGTATTTATAGCAAAGTTGCAGAGATAGCGCAGTGACTTTCTGTATACCCACCACCCAGTTTCTCCTACCACTACTGTGGTACATGTGTTAGTACTAAGAACCCCACCCACATCATCAGTATCTTACTGTTGACTAAGTTCCACCCTTACTCAGCTTTCCTTAGTTTTTCCGCTGATGTCCTTTTTCTGTTCCAGGATTCAATCCAGGCTATCATACTACATTTAGTCCACATGTCTCCTTAGTCAGGTTGGGTCTGGGACAGCTTTAACATTCTTTGTTTCTCATGACCTTGATTGTTTTTGAGGAGTACTGGTCAAATGTTTTGTAGAGTGGCCCCTCATTTTTAGAAGATTGCTCTCTATAAATGAAGCAGTTCTATAAGAGAATGTTATACATACGCACATTTCCTCATATACCTTTCATCTTCATTATATTGGTAATATAAAGGTAAAAAGCTTTCATCTTCATTATGTCAATAATATGTTTTTCTTTTCTTCCTCATAAAGAAAAACCTCCAAAAATAATATTAAAAATGGTGACTCTAAATCCAAGCCTTTCTCTTCAGTGGTTTCTGGAAAGGCTGAAACGAACCATGGAGTAGTTGCCCACCACCCACACTCTTCTGAAGGCTCCAAGACGTATATAATGGTATGTTCCTTTTTAAAGGGTATGTGTTTTAGAAACTGCATTAAAATGATAAGTTGATTAAACCAGTTATTTTCTGTAAAATGATTAGGCTTTACTGGAGATTCTGTTGTGTAATTGACTGTGTATTGTAGTGGGTGAAGGTGATTTCATTTATCCTACTTTATCCAAAGTGGGCTGTCAAACTGTTCGTGAAGTCAGTGCTGTAATAACTATCTTAAGAATTTTTTTATTGAGGTGAAATTTATATAACAAAGTTAACCATTTTAAAGCGAACAGTCAGTTGCATTCAGTACATTCACAGTGTTGTGCAGCCATTACCTCTACCTAGTTCCAAAACATTTTCACATCACCCCAGAGCACACCCCATACCCATTAAGGAGTCATCCTCATTCCCATCCAGCCTCTGGAAACAACCACCATTGGGTTTTCTGTCTCTTATGGATTGGATTGGCCTATTCTAGATATTTCATATAAATGGAATCATACAATGTGTGACATTTTGTGTCTTGGCTTTTTCCCCTTAGCATAATGGTTTTGAGGTTCATCCACATAACATGTAGCAATACTTCATTTATTTTATGTGTGAATAATATATCATTGTGTGTATATAACAGTTTGTTTATCCCTTCATTCATTGGTGTATATTGGGTGGTTTTTACTTTTTAGCTATTGCTATGAATATTTGTGTACAATTAATTTGTTTAAGTACCTGTTTCAATTCTTTTGGGTATATAGCTAGGACTGGAAATGCTGATCATATAGTAATTCTATCTTTAACTTTGTAAGGAACCCCCACACTGTTTTCCATTTTAGTTTCTTTATTTTACATTCCTACTAGCAATCCACTAGAGTTACATTTCCTCCATGATTTAGCTCTCCTAGTGGATGTGAAGTGGTACCTCATTGTAGTTTTGATTTGCAGTTTCCTTATGACTGATGACATAGAGCATCTTTTTGCAAGCTTGTTGGCCTTTGTATGCCTTCTCTAGAGGAATGTCTACTAAGTCCTTTGTCCATTTTTAATTGAGTCTTTGGCGTTAAGTTCTTAGAGTTCTTTCTCTATTTTGGATACTAGACCCTTATGATTTACAAACATTAACTCCCATTCCATAGGTTACCTTTTCATTTTCTTGATAATGTCCTTTTATGCACAAATTTTTTTTATTTTTATGAAGCCTAGTTTATCTCTTTTTTTTCCTTTTGTTGCGTGAGCTTTTAGTGTCATATCTAAGAATTATTGCCAAATCCAAAGTCTTGAACATGTATGGTTGTGTTTTCTTCTAGGAGTTTTAATTTTGTCTCTTATATTTAGGTTGTTGGTCTTTCGTTAATTTTTTTTATTGTAAGATATATATATATAGTGATATATATATATATATATACACACATACACACATATATAAAATAAAATTTGCCATTTTGAATCATTTTAAGTGTACAATTTAGTAGCCTTAATTATATTCCCAGTGTTGTGCAACCCATCATCACTCTCTTCCAAAACCCTTTTATCACAGCAAACAAAAACTCTGTACCCATTAAGCAATAACTCCATTTTCCTACTCTCAGGCCCCATTAACCTCTATGATTTTGCCTGTTCTGGTATCTTATATAGGTAGAACTATACAATATTTATTCTTTTGTATCTGGCTCATTTCACTTAGTATGTTTTCAAGGTCTATAAATGTAGCATGTATCAGAATCATTCCTTTCTATGGCCTTATAATGTCCCACTGTATGTATACCACATTTTGTTTATCCATTCATCTGCTAATAGACATTTGGGTCCTTTCTACCTTTTGGTCATTGTGAATAGTGCTGCTATAAACATTGGTGCACAAATACCTGTTTGAGTCCCTATTTTCAGTTCTTTGGGATATATATCTAGGATTGGGATTGCTGGGTCATGTGGTAATTTTATGTTTAACTTTGTGAGGAACGTTTTGTTCTATTTTGAGTTAATTCTTTTTATGGTGTGAGGAGTGCTGTAATAACTTGGGAACATTTCACTCAGGGTGAAGACAAAGGCTTATCCCAGGAGAAACACATAGTCATTGGCCCTTTGAAGACACCTGCAAATCTGAAAGGCCACACCTGCAAACCAGACAGGAGCAGTACCACAGAATCACTAGCTACAATCAGCGGAGTGAACATTGACATCTTATCTGCAGAAAGGAACTTGAGTGACGGGTTAGTTCAAGAAAATCAGCCAAGACACCTAGATGCCTCTGATGAGCTGGAAGGTAGATGCAGTATTTCTCAAGTGAAGGAGAGGCTGCAAGATAACACTAAGTCCAGCACTCAGCCGGGAAACCTAATTCCTATGTGCTCCTCGGATGATGTCACTGGGGAAAGAAAAGAAAAGCCTTTGCAGCCCCTGAACAAAGACCAAAAGCTAAAGGACCAGGTGAGTGACGTGCACGAGGTGTTGGTTTCAGAGAGAAGACTGGAAAGTGCAGTTACAGAGGTTTGGGTTGTGTTGTTTGGCTGTGTTCTAATTGTTTTAGGAAAATTAGCTATTTAGTGTACCAGTTTTTTTATGTATGTATGTATTTATTTATTTAAAATATTTTATTTATTTAGTTTTAGAGAGAGGGGAAGGGAAGGAGAAAGAGAGAAATTACTGATGTGTGGTTGCCTCTCGCACACCCCCAGCTGGGGACCTGGTCTGCAACCCAGGCATGTGCCCTGCCTGAGAATTGAATTGGCAACTTTTCAGTTCACTGGCTGGCACTCAGTCCACTGAGCCACACCAGGCAGGACAAGTGTACCAGTTTAAACATAACAAACCAAAGGATGAGACCTGAGGTACTTGGTGGAAGCGTGCTATTTATGTTTTTTTCTTATTTCAGTATCACTCTTCCTTAGTCCTTTTAGTGGAGGTGTAGTTCCAACAATTAGATAATATCACATTCCTTCTTGCTTTTGAAAAATTGGATTGTTCTAATTTCTTAAGGAATTAAAAAAAATATTTTATGTGTTGGAACCAAAGGGGAGGAAGAAGAGAAGATGAGAAAAGGAACAAAAGGCTTTTGATACTGAGACTATTCTGAGTAAATAATGGTTATCTTCTACCTGACTTTGGAAAGAAACCTAAATCAGTGGAAGCATGGTAATAGCTGAGGATTAAAAAGAAAAACAGAACATTCGATTAACTTTTTTAATGTGTAAAATATTTAAAAAATAGATTTAACGATTTAATAGGTATATTGACTATATTTTTATGATCTATGCTATATATATATTTGAATTTGATATTGATACATTATATTTTATGCAGCATTTATATAAACATTAAGACTATTTTATTCATTTATATTCAAATTGTTTTAATCCTCACCTGAGGATATATTTATTGATTTTTTTTTTAGAGAGAGAGGAAGAGAGTGAGAGAGAAGGAAATATCGATGTGAGAGAGTAACATCAATTGGCTGCTTCTGCATGTGCCCCAGCTGGGTATGTGCCCAGACCAGGAATCAAACTGGCGACCTTTTGGTTTGCAGGATGATGCCCAGCCAACTGATCCACACTGGTTGGGGCTAGTTTATCTTTTCATTGTTGAGTTATAAGAGTTCTTTATTCTAGATATCAGCCCCTTATAAGATAAAAGCTTTGAAAATATTCTCTTATTCTGTGGGTTGTCTTTTCACTTTCTTGATAGTGTTCTTTGAAGTGCAAAAGTTTTTATTTTTAATTTTTTTTACAACTGATTGAAGATCCCTGAGGTTGAAATTTGGGGGAAGGAGAAATTTGGCTAGAAAATCCATGCTTGTTTTAATAGCCATGCAATCAGAATCTATGCAGAAGACATTTTCTGAAATAGTGTAATATAATCTATATCTCATTATGTGGTAGTGTCCTTAGGACCGTCTTGCCACAGAATGTTCTCTGCATCTGCAATTAATTAAGCAAAGGGACAAATTGTATTTAAAGATCTGAAGGATATCAACATTATTTTTCTAGCACAAAATGTTTTTCCCATAATGCATGTGATCTTTCTTTTTTCCCTCAGTAGTACTTGAATTGCAAATAAATTCTTAAAAGAGGGAGAGTCCTTACCACAGAGTTTTAGTTATATCTCTGGAATGTGTCTCAGGTCCCTAAATATCATCTTCCTTCACTAACTGTTCTCTGAGATTTTACCATGTATTTTATTCTTTCTCCCTAAGTCTTTGTAGTAAATTGAACAGAAATTCCTGGACAAATGTAACTCATATCTGTCTTTCTTCCTCCTTCTCTTATTTCCTTTCTATCCTTTTGTACCTCTGTTCCTATCTCCTTCCCATCCAAAATATCAAAAGGCTTCAACATTTCTGGTTGAAGTGGGGATAGGGAACTTGAAGCACCTTTGGCACCCTTGCTCGTCCCTTGCCTACTCAAAGACAGCAAAGCACCTATAAACTCAGGACAGCTCTGGAACTCCCACTTGCCTACATGGACATGGCAGGCAGGAGTCTTCCTCAGCTCTGCACAGTGCATGGAACACTGCCTGATGTCCTCTAATTGCTCCACAGTGAGTTAACTATAGACCTGCTGGCTGAGAATTATGGAATTTGAATCTGCTTCAACTGTGTTGAGTAGGCTAATGAGGAAGTAGTAATTCAAGTGGGAATAAAGTTTTACTTTTAATGGTATGATGAAAAGTGCTGGGCAGACATGGGTTCAAATCCTGACTTTGATTTCAGAGCTGTGATGGGACTTTGGTCAAATCATCTGTCATAGCCTTAGTGTCTTTATCTTAAAATAGGGATAATATTTCATTGGATTGCTGGGAGGAAAACATTTTTAATTGTGATAAAATCCAATTTTGTCCATTTTGTTTTTGTTTTTTGTGCTTTTGATATCATGAATATTTACCCCTGTGTTGTCTTCTGTGAGTTTATAGTCTTAGTTTTGACATTAGGTCTATGATTCATTTTGAGTTAATTTTTGTGTATAATGTGAAGAAGGGATCCAATTGTATTCTTTTGAATGCAAATATCCAAGTATCCTAGCACTGTTTGTTCAAAGGTTATTCTTTCCCTATTGAATTATCTTGGCACTTGTGAAAATCAATAGACTATAAATGTAATGATTTGTTTCTAGACTGTCCATAGTTTTTCACTGATTTGTATGTCCATCCTTAGGTCAGTAAAACACTGTCCTAAATATTGTAGCTTTGTAGAAAGTTTTGAAATTGAGAAGTTTCAGTCTTCCAGTCTTATTCACATTTTTCAGTATTGTTTTGGAGTTTTAGGGGGTCCTTTACATTTGTATATGAATTTTAAGATTAATTTGTCAATTTCAAAAAAAAGGCTGGGATTTGATTGAATCTGAGCTTCATTTGCAGAATATTGCTATCTTAATATACAGGATAGGGCAAAAGTAGTTTTGTAGTTGTGAGTACAGGAAACACAGTTTATTCTTATTAGTATTCTTAGTAGTATTTATTACTGTATTATTTTTCACATTGTATAAACAACTGTAAATCTACTTTTGCCCCATCCTGTATGTCTTTGAATACATTGGATATGGGATGTCTTTCAATTGATTTATTTCTGTGTATTCTATTCCATTCGATACTCTTGTAAATGGAATTGTTGTCTTAATTTCATCTTCATAGTGTTCATTGCTTATGTATAGAAACCCACTCAATTTTTGGATATAACCTTGTGCTGTACAGCCTTATGAACCCATTTATTGGTTCTAGTAATTTTTTATAATGGACTCGTTAGGAATTTCTCAATATAATATCATATCATCTGTGAATAGAGATAGTTTTACTTTTTCCTTTCCAATCTGGATTGCTTTTATTTGTTTTTCTTGCCTAATTGCTCTAGTTAGCATCTCTAGTACAGTGTTGAATAGAAATGGTAAGAGTGACATCCTTCTTTTGTTCCTGATCATATTCATGTCTTACATTAAGCTTTTAGAGCAGATTTTTTTATTTGATACAGTTCTATGTCTAGCATTTCCTGTTTTGGTGTTATTGTTTTTAAAAGTAGAGGAACTTTTTTTCAGGACCAGTTGGATCTCATGGAGAAATTCTCTAAATCATTTGTCCTGTCACTCTTGTATTGTACTTGTATAAGCTTTATTTTGAATAGTCTGTGCTTACTCAGCAGAGAAACATTTACTTCACTCTTCAGCATTATGTTAGTCATTGTTTATTATCTTGGTATCCTTGTTCAGCTTGTTTATTATGCAACAATATTGTAAAATTTAATCCTTTACTATATTTTCTATGTAATATTAGGTATACTCATAGAAGAATAAATTTAACTTTTTTTTTACCTATAGAAACCAGAGGATTTGAAAGACAAATGACATATTTTTTTAAATTTTTAAATTTTTAAAATTTCTTGATTAAATGATATGTATGAGACCAAGCGTCCCTGGCTGCTACAGGAGTATAGTAGACAGATGTATTTAAGAAACAACTTTATTTAGAGCAGGGGCAGATGACATCTTAATGACAATGACAGTGACTCTTAGAAGCAATTTCACCCATATTAAAACCACATTGTTTGTTTTTCTTTCTAAAATGTACCGCACAGGTCCTGGCTGGTGTAGCTCAGTGAATTGAGCACAGGCCTGCAAACCAAAGGGTCACAGGTTCAATTCCCAGTCGGCACATGCCTGGGTTATGAGCCAGGCTCCCAGTAGGGAGTGTGTGAGAGGCAACCACACATTGCATTGATGTTTCTCTCCCTTTATTTCTCCTTCCCTTCCCCTCTCTCTAAAAATAAATAAGTAAAATCTTAAAAAACAAAATGCCCTGGCTGGTGTAGCTCAGTGGATTGAACTTGGGCTGGGAACCAAAGTGTCCCAGGTTCGATTCCCAGCCAGGGTACATGCCTGGGTTGCAGGCCATAACCCCCAGCAACTGCATATTGATGTTTATCTCTCTCTATCTGTCTATCTCCCTCTCTTCCCTCTCTAAAAATAAATAAATAAAAAATTTAAAAAAAAAGAACAGAGGTTGTCTAATTTATTAAAATAAATAAATAAAAATAAATAAAATAAAATGTACCACATAGTAGGCTCTTGATAAAAATTTTGATTGAACCATATTCAATTACCAGTGCCCAGCTACTTGAAAACTTAGGTATTCTGAGCCCTGGCTGGCGTCGCTCAGTGGATTGAGCGCAGGCTGCGAACCAAAGCATTGCAGGTTCGATTCCCAGTCAGGGCACATGCCTGGGCTGCAGGCCACAGCCCCAGCAACTGCACATTGATGTTTCTCTTTCTCTCTCTCTCTCTCTCTCTCTCTCTCTCTCTCTCCCTTCCCCCTCTAAAAATAAATAAATAAAATCTTTAAAAAATCTTAAAAAAAAACTTAGATATTCTGATAGTTGAAACTTGTTAAAAATTTCAGATTTTATTTTTTTTAATGTTCGATATGAATTAGTTTCTAGAACCAGCTACCCAATAAAATACTAAGTCCTTGGTGAACTCTGTAACTTAAAAAGTAATTTATTTTTATCATTACTATTGCTAATAATAGCTCTGATTTTCTTTGAGCATTTGATGTGCTAGACATAGCCCTAAGTACTTTAATGCACTATATTTACTAATTCTGTAATAGCCATACAAATGTGTGTGAGGCATTTTATCCATTTGTAGATGAAGAAACTGAGGTTCAGAAAAATTATATTTCTCAGGTATGACTCCATCTGACTCCAAATTCAATGCTCTTTTCAAGGTGCTTTAAAAAGCACTTTTCATGGTGTATCCAAATCACTGATGTTTACTTGGCAAGTATGTATATATTAAATTGGATTTCATTTAAAACATTTGTTTTCTGAATAGAAAACCTTTTAAGTTATGAAAATATATTTGAAAAAAAATAAACTGAGCCCTGTTCGGTGTGGCTCAGTTGGTTGGGTGTCATCCTGAAAATTGAAAGGTCACCAGTTTGATTCTTGGTCAAGGCACATGCCTGTCTTGAGGGTTTGGTTCGTAGTCAAGCTATGTGCAAAAGGAAACTGATCAGTGTTTCTCTCTCACATTGATGTTTCTCTCCCCCTCTTTCTCCCTCCTTCTCTCTCTAGCATCAATTTTAAAAATTAAAAAAAATTATTTTTCCCTAACTGGTGTGGCTCAGTGGATTGAGCACTGGCCTGTGAACCAAAGAGTCCTTAGTTTGATTCCCAGTCAGGGCACATGCCTGGGTCGTGGGCCAGGTCCCCAGTGGAGGGTGTGCTAGAGGCAATTAGATGCTGATGTTTGTCTGTCTCTCTTTCTTCCTCCCTTCCCCTCTGTCTAAAAATAAATAAATAAATAAATAAATAAAACCCAAGAAATTCAGATATCAGTAGTTTCAGGTTAATAAATAACTGAGTAATTTAATTAAAATAATTATATTTTTAATTTGGGAAAAGAAAACCAGAAAATATGAATAACTGATATTAAATTAACATTTGTCTTTGTCAACACTGCAAATAAGCATTTATTTTGATAATGGCAACTCTTTTTTATTTTCATTTATAATTTTAATAGTAGGTATGGAAGGTTTCGGTGTTTGAAATTCAAAAGACTATTTTATTATTTTGCATTATTGTATTTTTTTAAAGGATCAAGTTGCTGGTGAATGTATTAGTGAAAAAGAGGACAGAGCCCACCCAGGTATACCTCCACACAGCTCTGGGTCTGAACCTTCCCTGTCTCGACAACGACGGCAGAAGAAGAGAGAACACACTGAGCACAGTGGGGAAAAGAGACAGGTTGGACGACATCTCTTTGGAATAAGTCATTGTGCTGCTATTTGGGAAGTATACTTTAGTACATTTAATTCTGCTTGGAATGATTAACAGTTGCCAAAGAGGCAAACAAGAAATGCAAGGAACATTTAGGGAAGGGTAATGATGGCAAGAGACTAGTTTTCAGATGTCAGTAAGTTGGAAGCAAAGTGAGGATTTTGTCTTCCCCTGTGAAGATGGGCAGATCGTCGTGAGAGTTCAAGGAACAGGGTGATGAGTGAATCTCTGATCCTCCCTGTTGTATTGACAAGCAGTTTCTCCTCTATCATCTGCATAAAATCATGTTGACACTTCATTTCTTTTTTTCCTTAAATGGAATATTACACTATTTTTTGAAGTAACTTTCATAGGCACCCTGTCATATGCTTCACTTTTGGCAGTTTCTTTCCCCCAAAGTGCAGTGTTTTGAAATTTCTGAGAGCAAATCACTGTCGAATACATAGGAAACATTGATGGGGGAACTTTGCAGGTAGGTTATCATTATCATGTGGAATTGATAATCTCCCCCATTTTAAAAATTATTTAAGTTCCAGGAGGCTCCACATCCACTTTTGCCTTCTCTTCCCACTGTTGGAAAAATGGATGTCACATCAACTGAAAAGGAGGCTGAAAACCAAAGCAGGGTGGTCACTGAGTCTGTGAGCAGTTCCAGAAGCAGTGAGGTGTCATCATCAAAGGTTTGTGGGGGATATACATTGGAGTTTAAAAATCTTATAAAGCTTTTTTGGTTATAAATCCCGCATACATTGTGAAGTTTGGTATTAAAACATCTTTGCCCTGCTTTTTGCCAAACACTGGAAGGGATAGATTTGCAAGTCTTAGCAGAAGTGCTGATTGAAATGGACAGATTCTAAAGTTCCAGAAATGGTCACTAGTGGTTAACCAAGGAGACCAAGTAGATTCTAAATGGGGGAAATGCAAAATTCTCCAGTTGCCCTTCCAAAAATGAATATAGTACTTCCCAGAAATGGGGCTGCTGTGATGGGCCCTGCTAGAAGCTGTAACCCTGATGCAGACTGACTTCAAATGGACACCCCTTTAAGGCCTACGCAAGGCCTTTCCTATAGTGCTGAATGATATGTCCTACATTGTAGGTGTTGTAAGCATAGCCAGTAGAAATGGAAATAACTCTGACTTGCTTTAAAAGGATCGACCATTATCAGCAAGAGAAAGGAGGCGACTAAAGCAGTCACAGGAAGCGGTGTTACCCTCAGGTAAAGTTGTTCTCTTTTCTTCATCTACTGGAGGTTTTACTCATGGACATAAGCGTTGGTTCTGATTGTGAGGTGTTAAGAATTTTCAAGCAATAGTAATACATTTGGGAAACCAATTTGGAAGAAATTTTGAAATTTCTTAGTCAAGCCTTTAAAAACAAATCAGTATAGACTCTTGGGTCTGGAACTTGTATTATCAATGGAAGAGGATTTTAAAAAGTGAGCAAGAGGGCTTTAAGTGACAGTAACTCCTAGGAGATTTCAGACAGGAAGTCGAGTGTTTAATTTGTTTCCATTTCAGAGTCTGCTTGTAAAAGAAGCACTGTTTCTCAGGAACAGAGAGGGGAAGCTGGGAGAATGGTGGTGCCCAGGGCTGAGTTCTATGATCATTCCTATTACTATTATCTAAAGACAGTACTAGCAGTTTCCATTTATTGAAGCTATGTATGTCTCATGCACTGTGGTAAGCATTTCAAGGACATTATCTGATTTTATATTTACAGTAGCAGTCAGAGACAGGCAGCATTATCCCCATTTTGTAGCTGAGGGAACTGAGGCTCACAGTAGTTAAGTATCTTGCCTTGCTTAAGCTCACAGAGCTGGTAGCCCTAGAGCCCAGCTTTGATATGAAGTGTCAGGGTACCAGAGTGATGATGATATGCTGTCTGAGTTACTGCTAGGCTGGCCATTCCATGTTTCTTCCATGCCTGGGGCAAAGCCCTCTTCTGTTGAGGCCAGCCCACCACAAACAACTGCTGGCCTGGTCACTCTTTCAGGCCCTTCTGTGAGGAGCACTTCTCCTAGTGCAGCGGGGCCAGGAAAGCCACAAGAGGAAAGCCAGTCCACCTCTGCTCTACGGTTTTCTTCTGACAGAAGCTTTGCTCAGGTACATCACTTAGTTCTAAGGGAAAAGGTGGACACGTCTACATCTGGCAAGTCGAATACAGTAAACCGTATAAATGCCAGCTCCAGTTATTTCTGGGATGGTGCTGGCATAAGCTACCCCTTTTCACTCTTGGTAAGGGAAAGAACTGGTCAGTAATTTAAAAAGATTGTGTTTGCTTCGTTAAGGGAGGGAATTTTTTGGGCACTCTTGTCAACAATCGGTAGCCTAGTTAAATGTCTTTCTTAGGTAGTCTTTAAAACAAGACTTCCAAAGGGCTTCCACTAGGCAACACATTGCTGATTCTGCTGTGTTACTAAGTAATCCTTTAAAGCAGTTTAACAAAGAGTCTCACATATGAACAAATTGAGGTTGCTTTTATTTAGGTGGCATTCTATCTAGTTTAAAATGCCAATGTTCCTTATGGTACCAGCCCTCCGCCTAGGCGTTGGAACACCAGAATTGTTTGTCCGTTTTTCTGTGGAAAGAAAATTTCTTAATAGTTGAGACTTTCTAGGGCCCTTGTAAAACTTCCCCTTGATGTTCTTCAGGCTTGTGAACTTGATGGGTGAAGTTCATTTGGGTAAAGTAACTTCAATTTGTATATCCATTAGCTTCTCCTGTTAAATTGTTAAGTACACAGTGTAGCTAGACATGGCATCTCAGGACTTTTTCATGTATTGCATTCTGGTTGTGTGGTAATGTGGGATTTTGCTTTTCCAAATATTACTAGAAAAGAAAACTCACCCAGTGTTTCTCTGAGGAGGAGTTAAGTTCCTCGGCAAGTTCAACTGATAAGTCAGATGGGGATTCCAGAGAAGGGTAAGTCCTGTTTTTCTCTCTCCCTTCATAAACTGTTTCTGTTTGAACCATGAATGTATGTTTATAGTAGTATTCAGACCTGCAGTATTGCCATCAATAACATTATAAAAGTCTTTAATATATGCTAGTGCTAAAAATATCTCTTCTAATGAACACATCTGATTTTCATTTAGAATTTTTATGAATGTCTTCCTTAGATTTTCGGGTTTATAGTTTTCCTCAGAATTGAAAGGATTTTTGGCCATTAGTTCTTCAGATATTTTTGGGACCCCCCACCCTGCATTCTTGAGGATTCAAATTACCTGTTTATTAGTTACTTAAAGTGATCCCATAGCTCACTGTGGACCAGCTCACAATAATAACATCACAGTGCTATTTTTTTTACACTTTGTTTCATTTTTTCATCTATGAAAAAGATGATAGCATCTTTCAATGATAGCATCATTTTTATGCTATCTCTTCTGTTGCTTTGCTTTCTTTTGTGATGTCTAACCTGTTAATCCCATCCAATGTGTTGAACACATTGTACTTTTCATTTCTAGAAATTCAGTTTGGGCCTTTTTAATACCTTCCATGCCTCTTCTTAATATTTAATGCTCTTTTCTACTTTGGACATATGGGATATATTTATAATTTTATAATTATTATTTATAATAGCTTTAATGTCTTCATCTACTAATTCTGTTACTTGTGTCACTTCTGGGTCGTTTCTATTATTTGCTTTTTTTCCCTCTTCACAAATATGTGCTATTTTCCTGCTTCTTTGCATGTTTGGTATTTTTTTCCTAGATTCCAGACATTGTCAATTTTCTCTTATTAGGATTTGGTATCTTTTTTTTATCCTCATCCGAGGACATGTTTTTTCATTGCTTTTAGAGAGAGAGGAAGGGAAAGAGGAGAGAAGAGAGGAAGGGAGAGGGAGAAACATCAATTTGTTGCCTCCTGTACATGCCCACATTGGGATTTGTACGCGCCCAGACTGGGAATTGGACCTGCTACCTAGGTATGTGCTCTGACCGGGAATCAAACTGGCAACCTTTTGGTAATGGGATGACACTCCAGCCAACTGAGCCACACCGGCCAGGGCAATATTTTTATATTTTTAAAAATATTCTTGAGCTTTGTAATTAATATAATCAAATCACTTAGAAATAGTTGGGCAGAATTTATACCCAGAATTTGGGGCTTCCTCTTTCTGGCTCTCCCCTTTCCAAGATTCCTCCCTCGTTTTCTAGTGGCAGTGGTTGTCTTGAACAGTGTCCTTTGGGTCTGAAGGCCAGAAAGACTGTGTTTTCTGTTGTACTTTAGTACTCATGGCCTTTCTTTAGGGTAAAAGGTGTTGACTTCCTTCCAGAACCTGCTTGCGGATCTTGTACATTCTCCAATGCCTTCACATAGTTGATTTTTGTGTTATGTTCAGCATTTATATCTGTTACTTGTGGAAGGGTCTGTTTGCAGGAGATTACTTGGCCATTTGGAAGCAGAATTTCCTAGAGGTCATTTGGTCATTTGGCATCTAATTTTTTTTATGAAGCCAATTAAATAACAAGGGGATTTTTTTTTTCCAGGAAAGGTCATTCAAGTGAAATGAGTGACTTGGTACAATTGATGACTCAGACCCTAAAGTTGGACTCTAAAGAGAGCTGTGAGGATCTCCCAGTACCAGATCCAGTGTCAGAATTTAAACTTCATCGGAAGTACCAGGACACATTGATACTTCATGGGAAAGTTGCAGAACAGGCAGAGGAGCTCCATTTTAAAGAGCTACCTTTAGGTGATCAGTTTGTTCTTTCATAGCAAACTGGAGAGCATGGGTTTATTGGAGAAATGTGTCAAACCAAGGAGCAGCTAATACTTGCCAAATTTTTTTATCCTTTTATTATTTAATTTGGAAATCTCCATAAAAGGTATATCTTGTTTTATGTAACAGTTGTTATCCTGAAAAGTTCTATTAAATTGATTTTTAAAAATAAATGTAAATAAATACATGTTTGGAATTTTTTGCATGCATTTTCCTCGAATTAGACAGTTTTGTTTTTGAGGTTTGGGAAGTGGTAATAAGACATAAAGCGTAAACTCATATACAACCATACCTTGTTTTACTGTGCTTCACTTTATTGCACTTTGCAGATGTTGTATTTTTTATAAACTGAAGGCTTGTGGCAGCCCTGCATTGAGCAAGTCTACTGCTGCCATTTTTCCAATGGGCTCAGATGATGGGTAGCATTTTTTAGCAATAAAGTATTTTTAATTAAGGTATACACATTGTTTTTTAAAGCATAATGCTATTGCACACTTAATTGACCACAGTATAATATAAACAACTTTTATATGCCCTGGGAAACCCCAAAATTTGTGTGACTCACTTATTGTGGTGGTCTGGAACCAAACCTGCAATATCTCTGAGGTAAGCTTGTATACATTTTAGTCATTAAAAATACATGAAGTCATTAAACTGAACTCTTGTCAAAGTTAAAAGGATCTTAACATGACAAGATTAAAAAAAATTGCATTCCTCTTGCTGCAGTGCTGAAAGAATTCATTTTTTCCTGTCTTTGTTATTACTTTCTAGCTATCATGCCAGGTTCTGAAAAGATCAGAAGAATAGTTGAAGTCTTGAGAGCTGATGTAGTCCAGGGCCTGGGGATTCAGCTTCTAGAGCAGGTGTATGATCTTTTGGAAGAGGAGAATGAGTTGGAGAGAGAGGTGAGTGTCCTATTAGCTTTGTCTGTGGCTTATGCTATAGAATTTTTTAACAGCCTTTTGAAATATAATTAACATACCCTACATTTTACCCATTTAAAATTTGTAATTCAGAAAAAAATGACATGTGGTACAAAAATGCCCCCAAAATTAAAAATAAATGTACATTCCATTGGTTTTTAGTATGTTCAAAGTTGTACCACTGCCACCACAACCAATGTTAGAACATTTAATTACCCCCAAAAGAAACCTTGTACCCATTGGTAGTTGCTTCCTATTATCTCCAAAGCCCTCTACCTCTAAGCAACCACTAATATTTCTATCTCCATAGATTTATCTATTCTGGATGTTTCATTTAAATCAAATCATACAAAATATGTGGTCTTTTATGAATAGTTTCTGGCATAATGCATAATCCATGCATCATATACCTCATTCCTTTATATAGCCAAAAATAGTCCATTGCATGCCTATACCATGTTTTATTTATCTGTTCATCAGCTTATGGACACTTAGATTGTTTCTACTATTTGGCTATTATGAATAATGCTGCTTTGAACATTCATGTATAAATTTTCGTGTGAACATATGTTTTCATTTTCCTTGGATATGTGTACCTAGGATGGAAATTACTGTATCATATGGAAAGTCTATATTTAACATTTTGAAGAAGGGTCAGACTGTTCTCCAAAGTGACTTTACCATTTTACATTCCCACTAGTAATGTGTGAGGGTTCTAATCCCTGTCAACACTTGTTATTGTCATCATTTTGATGATAGCCATTCTAGTAGGTGAACTAATTCTTGATTGTGATGATCAATCATAGTTCACAATATATCAGTTACTCCCCACTTAAATCATTTGCATTATGTCACATCTGCTTTATGAAAACTTTCAGAGTGGTAGAAGTGCCTGAACAAACATATTTTGACCATTTGCTCTTTCTGGATATTTATGTTTCAGTTTTTTGGTAGTAATAATAATAATAACAATAACAACAATAAAGCCTTAAATTCCTAGAAATATAGTTGCTTCTCTACCAATTTAATAATAACTGATATCTAAGTGTTATTTTAATTTTTTCTTTTTAAGTAATTTTAGACTAACAAAGAGTCATAAATATATTAAAAAATTTCCTTAATACTTTTCACCTATATTCCCCACTGTTACTAATTCTACCACTTTTGCCTATCATTCTCTTTCTTCATATCTATAATTACTTCTTTTATCCATTTGTGAGAAAGTAGTAATATGATGTCCTTTTACCCATAAATTCTTTGGTGTTTTTCTTAAAAACAAGAATATTTCCTTGGATCACCACAGTAGATTATCAAATTCAGATAATTAACATTGACACAATACTATTATCTAATCTAAGTCTGTAGACCTTACTTGTTTTTTTAACTTTTATTTATTTTTAGAGAGAGGGGGAGGGAGGGAGAAAGAGAGGGAGAGAAATATTGATGTGTGAGAGAAGCATCGATTGGTTGCCAGTTGAACACTGTACTGGGGATGGGGCGGCAGCCCAGACAGATGCCCACCAGGAATTGAACCAGTGTTCTTTTTTTCGATGGATGGTGCCCAGTCCACCTAGCCACACCAGTGAGGACTGTAGATGTTATTTAAATTTCACTAATTGTTACACTAATATCCTTTATAGCAAAAGAGAAAAAAATTTGTTCTGGGATTTAATCAGTTCAACCCAATCACGATTTAATTCAATTCAATAAGGATTATATACTTTAAAAGCTTTTTTGAGATATAATTCATATACCATACAATTCACCCATTTAAAGTATATATAAAGTAGTTTTTAGTATATTCACAAATATATGCAACTATCCCTGTGGTTAATTTTAAATATTTTCATCTCCTTACAAAGAAGCCTTAGCCTTGGCTGGTGTGGCTCAGTGGATTGAACACTGGACTGTGAACCAAAAGGTCGCCAGTTCCATTCCCACTCAGGGCACATGCCTGGGTTGTGGGCCAGGTCCCTGATTGGGAGCGTTCAAGAGGCAACTGATCAGTGTTTCTCGTGCATGTGGATGTTTCTCTCCCTCTCCTCCTCCCTTTTCCTCTCTCTAAAAAATAAAATCTTAAAAAAAAAAAAAGAAGAAGCCTTATACCTTTGACTATAGGCCCTTTATTCTCTCTTTCCTCCAGACCTAAAGAACCACTATCTACTTCATGTCTCTATAGATTTACATATTCTGGATGTTTCATTTAATGGAATCATACAAAACATAGGGTATTTTGTGACTATCTTTTCACTTAGCATAATATTTTCAAGCTTTATCTGTGTGGTATATGTCAGTTCTTCATTCCCTTTTATAGCTGAACAGTTGTCCATTGGATGGAGTCTCTCCTCATCCATGGTTTCACTTTCTGTGGTTTTAGTTACTCATGGTCAACTGTGGTCCTAAAATATTAAATGAAAAATGCCAGAAATAAATAATTCATAAGTTTTTAATTGCATGCCATTCTGAGTATTGTGATGAAATCTCAAGCTGCCCTGCTCCCTCCCACCAAAGATGTGAACCATCTCTTTGTCTAGCATATACGTGCTTTACATACAATAAAATATTTTGAGAGAGATCACATTCATATAATTTTTATTAAAGTATATTATAATTGTTTTATTATTAGTTATTTTTTGTTAATTTCTTACTGTGCTTAATGTATAAGTTAAACTTTATTGTAAGTGTGTATGTATAGGAAAAAACATAGTATACATAGGGTTTGGTACTGTCTGTGGTTTCAGGCATCCACTGGGAGTCTTGGAACACATCCCTGGCAGATAAGGAGGTACTACTCTATCACATTTCATCTGTTCCTCAGTTGATAGACATTTGGTTTTCTACCTTCTACCTATTATAAATAATGCTGGTATAAGCTTTTGTGTGGATTCACCTCTCTTGGATACATAACTAGGAGTGGAATGCTGGGTAATGTGATAACTCTACATTAGATGTTTGAGGAACTTCCAGACTTGTTTCCAGAGCAGCTACACCATTTTACGTTCGTACCAGAAACATAAGAGGATTACAATTTCTCACATCCTCGCCAACACTTGTTATTGTCTGACTTTTTGATAGCCATCTTAGTGGGTATTCATTATAGTTTTGATTTGAATTTTCATGATGACTGATGATGTTGAGCATCTTTTCATGTACTACTTACCATTCATATATTTTCTTGGAGATATGTGTACTCAAATTCTTTGACTTTTTTTAAGGATTTCTTTATTTATTTTTTAGAGAGAGGGGAAGGAAAGAAGAGAGAGACAGAAACATCAATGTGTGGTTACCTCTCTCATGCCCCCTACTGGGAATCTGGCCCACAACCCAGGCATGTGCCCTGACAGAAACTGGCGACCCTTTGGTTCTCAGGCTCCATGTTCAATCCACTGAGCTACACTGCCAGGGCTGTCCCTTTTTTTTTAATTGACTTATTTATCTTTTAATTATTGAGTTTTAGGAGTTCTATATATATTTTTGGATACAAATCTCCTGCCAAATATATGATTTGCAAACATTTTTTCTCATTTTGTGGGAATGGGAAATGTCTTTTTACTTTCTTGATAGTGTTCTTGGGAGCTAAAAAAAATTTTTTTTATGAACTCCAATTTATTTTCTTTTGCTTTGTGTGCTTTTGGTATCATCTAAGAATCCATTGCCTAACCCAAGGTCATGCTGTGTTAACACTATGTTTTTTTTCTAAAAGGTTAATAGTTTTAGACCTCACATATAGATCTTTGGTGTATTTTGATATGTTATGAAGTAAAGGTCCAACTTTATTCCTGTGTATGTGGCTGCCCTACTGTCTCACTGCCATTTATTGAAAAGACTATTCTATGACGTTGTCAAAAAAAATTTATAGACACATGGATTTATTTTTGGACACCCAGTTCTGATCCATTAATCTGTATATGTGTCCTTAAGCCAGTACCATACTGTATTGTTTACTGTTGCTCAGTAGCAAGGTTTGAAATTGGGATAGGTGAGTCCTTCAGTTGTGTTACTATTTTTTAAAGATTCTTTTGGCTATTCTGGGTCCCTTGCACTTCTATGATTTTGGAATTTGCTTGTCAAATTCTGCAGATAAATCAGCTGGAATTCTCATAGAGGTTGTGTTGAATCTGCAGATCAATATTAAGACTTCTGATCCATGAAAATGAAATAATTTCCCACTTATTTAGACTGTAAATGTCTTAAAACAATGTTTTGTTGTTTTCAGAGTACTAGGTTTTGCACATCTTTTGTTAAATTTGTCCCTGAGTATTTATTCTGTTTGATGTGTTTGTAATTAGAATTATATTCATTTGGGATTTTCACTGCAAATGCATAGAAATAAATTTGATTTTAAAAATAACAACCTTGGTATCCTGAAATCTTTCTGAACTTGTTTATTAGGTCTAATAGCCTTTTTTTGGTGTGAGAGTATATGACCTTAGATTTCTATACATAAGATAATGTTATCAGCAAATAGAGTTAGTTTTACTTCTAATCTGGATGCCTTTTACTTTTTTTCTTGCCTAATTGCCATGGCCAAAACCCCCAGTACAAAGTTGAGTAGAAGTGGTGAGAGTAGACATCTTTGTCTTGTTCCTGATCTTAGAAGGAAGGCTTCCTATCTTTCACCATTAAGTATGATGTTAACTGTGGGTTTTCATACATGCCCTTTATCAGGCTGAAGAATGTCCTTTCTATTCCTGGTTTGTTGAGTGTTCTTTATTATGAAAAGGTGTTGGGTTTGTCAAATGCTTTCTCTCTATTTAGATAATCCTGTGGTTTTTGTTTTTTTTATTTTATGGTGTGTTGCACTAATTGTTTTTTGGATATTAAATCAGCCTTGCATTCCAGAGATAAATTGTGCATAGTCATTATATATACTACTTTTTATATGTCGTTTCTAGTATTCTGTTGAGGATTTTGGTGTCTGTATTCATATGAAATATTGGTCTTTAGGGTTTTTTTTGTGATATCTTTGCATGGTTTTGTTTGTCCCATGTCTTTTTTTTTCCTGTATTCCTTCTTTATTGCCTTTTTCCTTTATGTGAATATTTTCTAATGTAGCATTTTAATTTCTGTTAAGATTCTTTTCACTAGGTATTTTTTAGTTCTTAGTGGTTGCTCTAATGCTTGTCATGTACATCTTAAATGATCAGAATCAGCTTTATACTGACTTAATTCTACTGAGATATAAAAATGTTACTCCTTTCCCTTTTCCCCTTTATTGTGATATACATATCACACCTATATATTACAAATCCAACAGTACCTTGTTATAATTATTACTTTATATAACTTTATGTCTCTTAAAGTCAAGAGAAGAAAGGTATATATTTGTAACTATTGTTACAATAACCTTTTTATTTATTATTCCCAGATCTCCTCATTTATTCCTATGGATTCAAGTTACTATCTGGAGTCATTTCCTTAAGTCTAATATATCTTTGCTCCCACTTAGCTTCTTTATGCTGTTATTGACAAATATATTACATTTTATATGTTATAGACTCAACAAAATATAATACACAAATTGTTTTTTTATTGTAGTAATATACATTCAACTTCGAATTTACCATTTTAACCATTTTTAAGTGTTTGATTTATGACATTAAATACATTCACATTGTTGTACAAATGTATCACCATCATCCATCTCCAGAACTTTTGTTTCATTTTGCAAAACTGAAATTTTGTACACTTTATTTTTATTTATCTTTTTTAAACTAGCTCTTATCTTTTAATCTTTTAAAACGTTTTTTATGCTATTATAGTTGTCCCAATATTTCCCCCTTTGCTTCTGTCTTCTTAGCCGGTCCCCCCACTCCTATAGTCACTTCCCACACCATTGTTCATGTCCATGGGTCGCACATATGTGTTCTTTGTCTAATCGTGGAAGAGAACAGCTGTCTGTTCCACGTTTCCATGCCTCTGATTTTATTTTGCTCATTGGTTTATTTTGTTCATTAGATTCCAGTTATAAGTGAGATCATTTGGTATTTGTCTTTCATTGATGGGCTTATTTCACTTAGCATAATAGTGAAGCTGTACCCATTAAACAATAACTCCCCATTTCCTCCCTGAGCTACCCTCTGGCAATTACCATTCTAACTTCTGCCTCTGTGAATTTGATGCTCTAAGCATTGACACAAAGTCTAAGCATAAAGACCAGAAAGGCCCAGATGGCTTTGCTGGTGAATTATTCCAACCATCTAAGGAAAAAATTTCACAAATCCTATATAAATTCTTTCAGAAAATGGAAAAAGAAGGGACATTTCCCAACTTGCCCCATAAGATTAGAATAACCCTAAACCAAAACCCACCCAGCAAGGACATTACATGAAAAAACAAGACCAATATTCCTCATGGATACCTCAGTCATGGAGTATTTTGTTGGAAGATTTTTGCATCCATTGGTTTAAGGGATATTTGTCTGTTATTTTTTTTTCCTATAGTGTCCCTGTCTGCCCTCACTACCAGGGCAGTGCTGCCCCCATAAATGAGCCAGGAAATGCTTCTTGCTTCTTAACTCTCTGAAAAGTTTGAGAAGGATTGGCATGAGTTTCCCTCCAAATGTTCAAAAGAATTTACCAGCAAAGATCCAGGGCCTGTCCCTGTCAGTCTTTTTACTGGTTATGGGTATATTCAGATTTTTTTACTCATAATTTATTCTTGGTAGGATCTATGTTTCTAGGGATCTCCTCATTTCATCTAGGTTATAAAATTTGTTAGCATACAATTGTTCATAGTACTCTTTTAAAATCCTTTTATTTCTGTAGATATGGCAGTAATGTCCCACTTCAGTCTCAGATTTTAATATAGTTGACCCTCATTGCTTCTTGGCCTTTTGGATAAGATCAAGTGTAGTATAGTTGACCCTCTGTATCCATAGGTTCTGCATACACAGATTGAACTAGCCTCAGATACGGTAGTAAAAAAGAAGTCACGTTATTGCTGATGTGTACTATGTACAGACATTTTTCTTGTCATAATTCCCTAAACAATACAGTATAATAACTCTTTACATAGCATTTACTTTGTATTAAGTATTATAAGTAACCTAGAGATGATTACAAATATACAGGCAGATATGTATAGGTTATATGCAAATACTACACCATTTTATATGGGCCATGGATTTTGGTGTTCTTGGGGTCCTACTGAGGAAGGGCTAATTTGAGTCTTCTTTTTTTCTTAGTATAACTTAAGTTTTGTCAATTTTGTTAATCTTTTTAAAGAACTTTTAGTTTTATTGATTTTTCTCTATTTTTCTTTTTTATTTATCTGAGATCTAATTTTAATTGTGGTCTTCCTTTTGGGTTTAGTTTTGTCTTTGTTTTTTACTTCTTGAGTTGTAATGTTAGGTTCTTGACTTGTGATTCTTTTCCTTCTTTAACATGTATTTACTGGTTTAAAAATTACCCTCTTAGCACTGTTTTTGCTGCATCTCTTAGTTTTGATATATTGTGTTGACGTTTTTATATATCTCTAAATATTTTCTGGTTTTCCCCATGATTTCTTTTTGATGCATTGGTTATTTGAATGTGTTGTTTTGTTTCCATAAGTTTAAATTTTTTGGTTTTCCTCTGTTACTGATATCTCACTTCATTCTGTTCTGGTTGGAGAAGATATTTTGTATGATATCTCCCTTTTTAATCTATTGAGACTTAATTTGTGACCTAACATATATGGTCTCTCCTGGAAAATGTCCCATGTTCACTTGAGAAGAATGTGTATCCTGTTGTAGTTGGATAGGGTGTTCTGTATGTGTCTGTTAGAACTACAGTTGGCCCTTGA